AAAACTTACTGTGATATTAGGATTTTCCACTGATTTGGTAATAGAACATTATATTGCAAAAAATGACATGATGCAGAAGAAAATCCTATATATTAAAACGAAACAGGGTTTTTTTTATTTTACGATTCTGAATCAACCACTTGACGGATTTTTATGATTTTTGTGTTGAAAGAAAGATAATTTTGAGAACTAGGGAATGTCGAGGCCATAATTTTAGTTTAGGGTTTCAGTTTTTTAGAAATTAAGTTTTAATTTTCAAAAAGTCTAGCAGCCGACGGACGAGTTAAAGTCGTTTTTGTGGTGGTTTAACTAACAGCTGGTTGCTAACTGTCATTGAAATGTTTATGTTACAAGTTGTTTGAATAAAAAAATATTGATCGTCAGAGTTTGCCTACACGATATTTTACTTTGAAATGCAGTTTATTTTCTACCGTAAAAAGATCTATGTTATCAGGAGATTGTGTAATTTTGAACTAAACATTTTAAACGTATAATCAAGTTATGTCATAAATGTAATCCGTCTAAGTTTAAGTGCTTAATCCTTTAAGATAAGGGGTTTACGTGTTGATTCATCTTTTTCTAGATGTTTTAATATAAGTATGACTGCATACAGTACACATTTTATTCGTAATGAAAATGTCAACCGGTGTAGTAGGTCTCCAGAAAACTGACCAGTAAGCTGCAGGGTGTCAGTATCGATTCATACCTTATCATAACGATCCCAGTAGTACTGTATGATTCAGAAACTTGATAAAGGGGTACATTCCAAAAGTATACCAAAAGGCTCGGATCTCGGATGGGCTGGGCAGGCTTTGCATGGCGGAGAGAAGATACTTCAACTTTTAAAAGTGTATTCCAAGGAGTACTACAAGGTAGACGACCACTTGGAAGACCAAGTAATGAAAGACATCTTCAGACTGGTATCTTCCTGTCTTCCTGTCATCCAGAAATGGCAGGGGATAGAAGAGCCAGGAGGCCATCAGGATCATTTTAGAGGTTTCAGTGGCCAAGGTGATTAAATAAGGTGGGTAAGAGATAGTAGGCCCATGCAGTGGATGGTGGTATGTAGCTATTGTACTCAAAGCCAGTGTGTGTGAATCGGCCACCAAGTTGTAAACTAGCTGTTCTGAATCATATTCAGTTTTAATTGACTACTCGATTCCCGTACGAAGGACGGGGCCAACAGCTCGTCAATTTTAAAATCAGAAAAATCCATTGCAAATACTGTACTTCATTTTGGAAAATGCAATAAATCACAATTTAACAGGTGTTGCATTAAAAAGTAGTGTAGAATTATGCATATGGTCGTAATGTAAACAAATCTGAAGAGGCAACTTTAAAGGCTTCTGGGACAGAGCCCCAAGGGAATTTGTCTCTTTCCTCTTTTGATGGCTCATCTACAGACCAAGACTTTCTTTAGAGACCCCTACCAAGTTTCTACGCCCAGCCGTTCTCTCAAATTAGCTGGGACAAAAACCCCGTTTTCCTCCATAAGAATAACATGGGATGGGAATTTAAAGGCCACGGCGGCCGAGCCCCAAGGGAATTCACCATGTTTCTCTTTTGATGGCTCATCTACAGACCAAGACCTTTCTTTAGACACCTCTACCGAGTTTCTACGCCCAGCCGTTCTCTCAAAATAGCTGTGACATAGAAAAACAGTTTCAAATCTAATATATAAAATTCTCGTGTCACAGTGTTTGTCTGCAAACTCCTCCGGAACGACTTCACCGATCGTTATGAAATTTGGTGTGTAAATTCTGTAGGTATGCGAATCGGACGTAAACTATTTCCCGTTTCGAAATTCTTAAAAGGGCTCCGCCCCAGTGGCTCTGGAGTTTCCCATGTTAACCTTATGAGAAATGGAATTAATGAATCTTAACAGCTGTTTCAATTAAACAAGTTGGTTCTGTTCTATGATGTTCAATAGCATTAAAGTTACAAGGATTACCAACAGGGTGCAGCACTATTATTTCTTTTACATTTATGACAACAGCTAATTTGCAACCAAAAGGTGAGTGAGCGTAGCGAACGAACTTCAACCTGGAGGCGAGTTAGCGTAGCGAACGAGCTAACCTGAAGGCAAGTGAGCGCAGCGAACGAGCTCCAACCTAAAGGTGAGTGAGCGTAGCGAACGAGCTCCAACCCAAAGGTGAGTGAGCGTAGCGAACGAACTTCAACCAGGACGTGATTGAGCGATGCGAACGAGATCATCTTGAAAATTAAACGTAACGGTACTTTCTTTCCATCGGTCTGTCTTAGGGGAAACCTATAACTTAGGCGATACGAAGTTCGCCGGGTCAGCTAGTTAATATATAGAATCTACATACCAAGACCTTTCTTTAGACACCTCTACCGAGTTTCTACGCCCAGCCGTTCTCTCAAAATATCTGTGACTAAGAAACAGTTTCAAATTAATATATAGATGTTACAAAAATGGTCAAAATCTTAAAGATTTGTTATTAAAAAGTTAAAGTTTGTTAAAGTTTGTTATTTATTGTTAAGAAGTATTATATAAAAATGTACAAGTCAAATCTGCTGGTTTTGGGAGTTACGTGAGAGAAAAAACATGATAATGTTAACCTCATACTGTATATTTTGTAATTTATCTCCAAAAGATTATATTATTCAATCCATCCAACTAAACACTAAAAGGTTTTTAAGGTAAAGTCGCCATAATCTTTAAGGAAATCCAACGTTAGAGCCTACTTGGTCTAAAATAACGCCATAAAATAGAGGCATAACACGTTGAAGATTAGGCAATAAAGAGAATTCTCTGATCAACTAAGGTGATAAAGCAAATAGCAGCTGTAATAGGGTGATCAGTGGCGAAGTTTGTGGCCTCAGATAACAATGCTTCAGGGCAGACGCTTCAACTATGTGCTAGTGCTACCAACATTCAATTAAAATCGTGAATATGTTTTCACGATAATTCTTAAACATTAATTGAGCGAAGCTTTTACTCCTGCTTTTGTTTTCTAAATAAGTTACTCCTCCTGAACGACAAGCGATCCGCACGAAATTTAGCACAGGGTAGTAAGTATGTGAAAGGTATAAGAAAAATCTGAGATGGTACAAATAATGTACTATGAGCTTTCCCCTGTAAATTTTAACTTTTAGACATTCAACATGGATATTTATTTATTTGGATTGATTGGTCGCCATGCTCGTTTTTGCAAGAGTACCTGGGGACCGAGCTTTCACTCAGCGATGTCAGCATTTACTACTTCCTTCACCATTTCCTACGTCATGGACATATTTCCATCCCTTTTCATAGCAATTCAGTATTTCAATTGCAGATACATAAATCTAACTGTTACAATTGGTTTCCAGTTCCCAGACTCCACACTGCTAGCCTTTACTAGTTCCTTCACCTCTTCCTAAATCGCGGACCTGTTTCCCCCCCTTCCCATAGCATTTTAAGTTTTCAGATACCTTAATCTAATCCTCATACACAGTTCCCACACTCCGGACTGCTTGCCTTGACTACTTCCTTCACCACTTCCTACGTCTCGGACCTGTTTTCCTAACTTCCCATAGCATTTAAAGATTGTAGATACCTTAATCTAATCGTCATTAACAGTTCCCACACTCCACACTGCTAGCCTTTACTACTTCCTTTACCAATTCCTACGTCGCCGACCGGGTTCCCTCCCTTCCCATAGCATTTTAGGATTGTAGATAGGCCTACCTTAATCTAATCGTCATACACAGTTCCCACACTCCGGACCGCTCACTACTTCCTTCACCACTTCCTACGTCGCGGACCTGTTTTCCTCCCTTCCCATAGCATTTTAAGATTGTCGATACCTTAATCTAATCGTCATTACCAGAGTTCTCAGACTCCACACTGCTAGCCTTTACTACTTCCTTCACCTCTTCCTAAATCACGGACCTGTTTCCCTCCCTTCCCATTGCATTTTAAATTTGCAGATACCTTAATCTAATCGTCATTAACAGTTCCCACACTCCGGACTGCTCGCCTTTACTACTTCCTTTATCAATTCCTACGTCGCGGACCTGTTTCCCTCCCTTCCCATAGAATTTTAGGATAGTATATACCTTAATCTAATCGTCATAAACAGTTCCCAACCTCCGGACCGCTCACCCTTACTACAGTATTTCCTTTACCACTTCATACGTCACGGACCGGTTTCCTTACCTTCCCATAGCATTTTAGAATTGCAGAAACTTTAATCTAAACGTCATAAACAGTTCCCGCACTCAGGATAGCTCGCTTTGACTACTTACTTCACCATTTCCTACGTCGCGGACCTATTTCCTTACCTTACCAACCATAGCATTTAGGATTGCAGATACCACAGATACCTTACCATCTAGCTGAAGCCACTTTTATAGTTAGTTCTGTCTGGTTTTCTATAGATGTCGTGTTTTGTTTACAATTTGTTTCTATTATTTTAGGGATAGTTTCTCATTATTTGTGTCTCACTGTTTGGTTATATAGCCAACGATAGTAATATAGTGAACGAGTTATCGTTTATGATTAAATAGTATCATTTGGTTAAACGAGGTTTTAAATTACTGAAATAACAAGCAACAAATTGTAAACAAAGCACGACATCTACAGAAAACCGGACGGAACTAACGATGAAATTGGATTCAGCTGTTCCATAAGGATGGGAAATCTACTACCGAAGCCTGCAAGCAAACTAGAAGGAAAAAAGAAAAAATTAAGTAATTACCCAACCATAGTAACTAAAAATATCAGAACAAATCATAGCTCATTGTCAACATTTATGTATGTAAATAACAAAATTAAAGTGTCAACACCATTCTCCTGATTAATATCATAGACTAACCGTATGTTTTATCTATGTTAATATCAAATAAACTAAGAAAAAGACGGATAACCACAAAAAGTGAACATTGGGGCCTCATGAATTTTAATCAAGGCCTTCACATTTGTGACATTTAGAAAAAAAAAGAAAAAAACCTACATTGCTTTGGTTTGCTGTCTTGCAGGGTTTCCTAACCTAGAAACTGCCTTTAGGTTAGGGTAATAAACAAGCTCACGGGATTGATATCAGACGTTTTTGGCACTAAGAAGTAAGAATTGCTGTGATTTATACAATGGATAATGGATACTTCATGTGCTTCCAAATCCACAATCATAAAAGAGGTAAGATATTCTCCACAAGAGCTAGAAATTATTTGAAAGAAAATCGTTAGTCAGGAATTAAATTTTCTACAAGACATTGTTCCTAAGATGTTTTTCAAAAATCACACTCGTTCTCGTTCGTTTTCATAAAACGTCCTACTTTAAAAACAAAATGTGGTGTGCTGATCTGAACTAAACGGTTCAAAAAAATTCGCCAAAAAATTGAAATTTTCATTATATCTAACTTATAGTAATTAGGCCCTATCACAATTTCTATAAATTTATCTTAGGCCTATTGGTGTATTGTTTGATTACAGATGCAAGAACTTCAGGACACAGTGAGTCTGTACTATCGCAGGGTGGATGTAATTGAAAAGAAGTTAAAATCATCTTACATTTCAACAGAAGAGAGGTAAGCTAACTTTTAACATGGGTTTTTAAATTATCATGTTACCCAATAGATAATTATCAAAACAATGTTCAAGTCTTTGAATTGAGGAGGCCTTATGTTACCAGAATATCTCTAGTCTTTAAGTCAATATTTTTCACTTACCCCTCCATTGGTGGGACCACGGAGTTTTCCTCCGGTTGCTTTTGTTTTTTATATAAAAATATTTGATATTGCCAGCCAGCATCTTTATGAGTAACAGTACTTCACGTCCATCTTTCCAGTAGCACGGAGCCCAGCTCCGTGAGTCACCAATGGTGTTGTTGTATTAAACTAAATATGTTTTGCATGGTTTGTTTTTAGTTATTTGCATTCTTAGTAAGTAGTGATTGTGTTCCTATAGGTCGGCCGGATAGATAGCGACCTGCGCGAGGATTTTTAGCGCATGTAGGGGAGGTAACAGCAAGGGAGGGTAAGTTCTCCCTCTCCGCCAATGGCCGTTTTCACACGGCACCAACATGGCACTGCCGTGTCGGTGTGTGTGTGTAAGCAGTTCCATTTGGTAACACAGGATTCCAACTCCCACGACACTGGGGTGGTGCCGTGTCGGTGACATGCCGTTGTCGTGTTGTGCAGTGTGAAAACGGCCAAAGGGAGGGGCGCGGGCGGCAGCCAAGTGGGGGTCTCACCATAGCCATAGTCTGTCTCACTCCCACAGCTCGGTATTTCTCTCTCGCACCAATGCTACAAAGAGGTCGCTTTCTAAGCGGCTGGCCTATAGTGGTGAAACTTAAGAAGCTACTAGAATTAGGTTAAGTTCTACAGATACACGTAATACAGTGACGTCAACCCTTTGACAGATTTGTTTCGTAAGTATTAGCCTACTAGTGACATAAGTAGTTATTTTCAAAAGAGTGTAGGGCACCTTGTAACATTATATCGTTTTGCAAAGTTTGCAAAGTACAACTTCAATGTGAAAAGTTAAAACAGTTAGGTTTAACTGGCAATAAGACAGAAAAGAAACTTACAATTCGAGATGCAGTCGAGTCATCAAGTAAGCTCGTAGTCTAGCTGTGATGTCTTGCTGCTGGAGCTCGAATGTGCCTTTGCAGTTTTAGAGGGCCGCTTTTAATGGCCATGGTCGAAAGTGGAAAGTTGACCTTTCAGTTGATTTATAAGCCCCTCACTAGTCAGTGTCAGTACAGTTCCGTCTGCGCAACCAAAGAGGTGAGTACCTGGGCCTTACTCACACTTTGCTACTCTTGGCATTTGCAATAGTTGTACTAGTTTACCAGATAACACTGTAAAATACAGTTAGTAATTCGCTGTTGCATTTTAGGCAGATGTTACTGTTAGATGAATTGTGTTTACATTTGATTGTATGTTGCTGAATAGACTTAAGTGTTGGATATTCATGCTATGGTGTGTATTTACTGTGTTTGTATTGTTATACTATAGTGCTTATGTTAGCTATATTGCAAATCAGCATCTATTCGTCATATTGCATATTTCTTTTTTCTGTTGTATCGCATTGGCACTTATATTGCTGAATACACCTAAGTGTTTGGTATTCATGCTATAGTATGTATATTTACTGCATTTGTATTGTTATACTACCATCAATGCTTATTATGCTAATGCTTATCAATGCCTATAATTCAAATCTATTTGCATCTATTCGTCATATTGCATATTTCTTTTTTTCTGTTGCGTTGCATTGGCACTTATATTAGCAATAATACAAATCGCAGCATCTACTCGTCTTATTGCATGTTGTGTTTTCTGTTACGTCCCATAACTTTTGTACATTTCTTGGTATTTGGCGTTTGTTTTTTTTTTTTTTTACTTGTTAATATAAGTTCTTAAGACAGTTGTTGTTAACTTGGAGCTATTTGTTAGAACTGTATTATTAAGTATTAATTTCAGCTGCAGTGTTTTGTAGCTGTTTTATGTTTTTGAACAATAACTTCACAATATTTGTACATGGAATGTCATATTCCCTGTATTTTAACTACACAAGTGATCACCCTACATTATAACTACTCATACATATTTAAGTTTCCCACTAGTCTATTACATTTTTTTTTTATTTTTCAGAAAACAATATGTCGCTGAGCAACAAACTTAACACTCTGAAGAAGGGAGGTGTCCACTCTGACTGCCGAAGCGGGGTACCTGGTGGTTGCTGGTAGGGTGGTAGCAACCACAGAAAAGGGCGGACACTTCAGCATGTTTCTGCCAAAAAGGTTTGCCGAGGCGCTAACAGCTGACGAGCTACAGGAGATCGCCAGAGAAGGATATAAGATACGATAATTTGGAATGAATGGTAGATCGCCAAATGTAAAGATATGGAAGGAATAAGTTACATAATAAAGTATGATTATTGAGGATATTTTGTTGTTAGCGCAGCATTTTGTGTGTAGTATAGCGCAGCTATAAATATTTACAACTCAAACTTTTCAATGCCCTCCCTGAAAATGTACGCAACTTGCCTATTAAGTCACTGAAAAATGTATTGACCGATTTTTTGAACAGAAAGGTTATCTACTCTATCGAGGAATTTTTATCTTTCAAACATGATGATTTTCTGTAAAATTCTAATTGTTAAGTAGGGTATTGTTTCTAAAGTATGTAACAATGGTTTCATGAACTGTGATATAATAGTCTTTCATAATAATGTTATTTCTGCCAACTTTATTTACAAATTTATTGTTATTTAGTTTTAAGTTGTATCTCACTGCCAATTTTAGCCTTAATTATTTTATTTTATTATAGGCACTTACCCAACTTGTTCGCTTAACTATAAACAGTATTATTACCATCATTATCAATACATCTCAAATACTTTTGTACAAAAACCCAGTATTATTAGTTTATTCCTATAGCATGTTCATCTATTTACACTTGACTCTGTACATTGTACTTTGAATTGTATATTATCTCCATTGACCTGGCCTATTGTATGACATGTATACTTAATGGCAATAAACTATTTGAATTGAATTGAATTGTTTCTAACCGAGTTTATTGTTTAGTATAACAGCACGTATTAGCGTTTCAGCAATCTTGATATTTCCACCAATATACTACTACAAAAATATACTTTTAGAAAAACACAACAACGATTTCTCAAGAAATGCAGCACAGTGTTAATGGGAATGGGGGTTTATGGAGGGTTTTATTTAGTAAAAATGGGGGTTTTCCATTTATTACCCTAAAAACATTAAATTTTGGAATTTCTTTCCCAACAATTTGTAGAGCTTAAAAAAATTAATAATTTAGTACAGTATATTGAAGCATTGTTGTATGCCTAATGGTTACAGAGAAAATTCAAAAAAGTGTAAATTTAATAAACCCATAAATTATTATTCTTATGGAGAAAATGAAAACGGTTGTAGTTTACTTGTTTATGGATATATATGTTGATAAAATTTGGCAAATTTATTTATTTGATCCGATAGGCTACTAAGTTATTGACGTTTGGTCAAAAAACACTTTTTAGTCTGCAGGTTTTCTGCGGCAGGGGTATTTAGTATATCAAATTGTCCAAGCTTTCTCGCTTTTTTCCATTGTAATATTTACGCTAACCCAAATTAAAATAGTAAGTTAAATATTTCATTTCAACCAAGTCAGTAAATGTTTGTAGCACACGTTTCCTTAAATTATTGCAACTAAAATAATAACAGCCATTAAATTATCCAGCTGATCATAATGTAAACAAATATGTTCTTCATAAGGATAACATGGGAACTTAAAAAACCACTGCGGCAGAGGCAAAGGGACTGTTTAAAAAATGTAATGCAAATCTACACACCTAGACTAACATTTTGGTATATAATATGTGGGGTTAAATCTTAAACCGAAAAGCCTTATTGTTCACAATGTTTCATGTAGCATATTAATAATATAGATAGATAGATGATTTTAATCATAATAAAATGAAAAATGATGAAAATTTAGTTCCCTACTATTTAGTGGTAACAATTTAATTTGTACCAAGCTGCATTGAAAATGATCTGATTAACGTAGGACAAACACAAGTTGTTTTTCAGATATCTATACGAATACTTAATACAGTATCTTGCTTTGTCTCTTAAATTATGTATACTTCCAAAATTACTCATTACATTTCCACTTTTAGTGTATTTAGTGAGGTGCGACTAATGGGATTTAGTCACAGGGTTGACCCAGCCGTTGTCTGTTTCAACCCTTATAAGTAAGTGATAAGTTCCTTGCACGGGTAGGACCGAGGTCCGCATGTTATCTCTGCCTCGGTCATATCCCGACAAATTTCATTTATGGCCTCTCATTAGAGCAGGTATGTGCGCTCCTCAGTCCAGGAATCTGGCAGTGGATTCTTTTCTCTTAAAAAAATAAATTAAACTGATAATCTGTTGGGTAGTTTGATTTTTTGCAGAAATGTTATTCTCGCCAAAGTTAAAATTATTTTAAAAGTTGCACGATCGAAAATCGCGATTTTGTATGATCACGGGAGACAATGATGAAGTCTCCTCCACTACTAAAGATGTCCTGAATCTCGTTCACGATCCCGGAAGAGGAAGATGATGGTCTCCCAAACACGAAAGATATTCCCTATTTTACAGTGAACATAGGAGACCTTCTGCATTGCAGAGATTACCACAGTTATATTGCAATTGCATGGGACACTCAAAGTTTTGCTGTGACCGAGGATGACTTTCTTCATTTTCAATTTTTTTTTTTTTTTTATGGTCTGCCATGTTTGTAGAAGTTGTCTATAATGAACAGGCTATAATATTTACTAGTGTACATGTTGCTCGAATTCGAGCAATTACAAAGTATTACAGGAGTTATTTCAAAACGAATAACACTTATATTTACAATGAGTTTAAAAGAGTCAACTCAAAGATTAACGGGGTGTAACTCAGACCAAGTTTATCTTCGTTCTTCGTTATTGATGAACCTGAAGCATTCCGGCTGGGTTTCTCCTTCTCAAAAGGCCTCGCTGTACAGGCAACACAGGTCATTGATAGAGGGCCAATTGAGAACGAAAAGTCGTTTTGGGGTAGTGTTAGGGCACATTTATAACCTAATAGTTGAGATTGTCCAGGGTCAGGTGCTGACTGTGATGAGTTAAGCATATTACGTTATCACGATTACGCCTCCTGCCCATGTTTCGTTGTCGTAGCGTCGGAAGCATTGAAATGAAAAGACAACAAATAAACAAGTTATAGCTACCCAAAACAACGATAAATGCACATATTTAAGTTACAATCATGCTAACACGATCCGTCATAGCGATACAAAAGAACGATAAATACACAAATTTAAGATACAACCATACTAACACGATCCGTCTTGGGGGTTATGTTTACACAAACTCAAATAGTAAATAAATGTACTCAATGTGTTTCATTGAATTAAAAAATAAATAACAGCAATTAAATTATACAGCTGATCAAAATGTAAACAATTATGTTCTTCATAAGGATAACATGGGAACTTTCAAAGCCACTGGGGCAGAGCCCAAGGGACTTCAAATTCAAGGGGTTTCAAAAATGTAAGGCCAGTTTGCAAATCTACGCGACACGCTCTTTCCAATTAGACGTCAATGGATAAAATCGGTTAAGAAATGGCGGAGGAGTTCAACCGACAAAGTTTTGTGTAGCGTATTAATTATATAGATTTATAATAATTTATAGGCATGCACTGTGGATGCGATACTGCGATACTCCCTGGTGTGGATTAAGGTCCTCACGAGTGAGTACTACGACTATCCGCAGTACTCTCCTGATAATGAGACCAATTCGTATATACCAAGGCAAAAATGTGGTTCGGAAGTCTGTTTGGAAAGCTTTAATTAATTTGTTCTCCTTTCTTTCAGGCAAAGTCTTGAAAACGAGCTGCAAGACATTACAAAGCAGTGTTCTAGTCTGGAAGAATCCATCAAAGGCCTTCGTAGAGAAAATAGCAAAACATTTGCATTTGCAGTATTATTAATGTTCTTTAGTTTCCTAGGCTATGGGTTATATAGAATGGTGTATGGCCATGATGATTAGGTAAGATATATTTACATGTTGATCATTGCTCGGTATCCGAGTTCAAAAAAATATTGTTCTTCTCGTAATCAGAAGGTTGCTGTTTGATCTTGAGGAAAGTAGTTTTTGCAGTGTTCAAAACTGAATCAAGCTGTCCTTGATGTGGTATTTAAAGGTATTAAACCTTTAAGGTATTTATAGGTTTATGTAAAGGTTATTATGGTAAGAATTATTTACCATGGTTTTAAATTATTCAGAAGTAACTGGCTGAAGAAACAACTGATCAAGGTTGTCAATTTAAGTTCTTACAATACAGTACTTGTTGGCTGATATTCACTGAAAAGAAAAGTCCCATAATTAATCTGTCTGCTTGCACAATATGACTCGAGAATGCTTAAGCACATATTGAAATTTTCTTAAGTTGAGGTATGACTGTCTAGAGCTGTCAGTCACATTTTATTCTTTAGATGGAAACAACACACCAAGACAATGAGAAGCACATTCTGATTCTCACACATTAAACAAATTGCTTGGCCAAGTATGAATGGCATAACTTGGACCAGTACTACACAAAGTTTTGTTCCAAACTAAACCTAATTTACAAATTAATATATTTTCACCCCCAGTATCTTGAAACGTTTGCTATGAACCCTTTGAAATGCAGCTTACCACATATCTATTCATCCCAACAACTTTCACCTGGCTGGTGAGACAGTACTCGAGGCAGCTCAGCCATTGATAGTACCTGACGTCTACAACACTAGCAACTCTGGTTAACCCAAAGCCCAATCATTGTATAGTTTTAAGCAAAGTTTTATACTATCATTTCCTCGCTTTATATTAGTTATTCTCTCATAGGTAATAATTGGTTAGTTGATTGGTTGGTTTGACCCCTTTGTTTCAACAAGTAAAGGTAGATTCACACACATTAGTCCAGTCACAGTTCAGCCTCAGTTGCATCCGCAATTTCTCAAGGCCTGTTTTGCCAGAAGCGTCTGATACTGATAATCGCTCAGTGTATATAGCTCAGGCCTTTTTTGCCAGAAGCCTCTGTTCCTTGCGATTATTTGATCAGAAAGTGGTTTTCTTCAGCTCTGTTTGTAAAATGAGCTGTAAATAGCAATAGTGAAGTGTTTGTAAACTAAGGAAGAGCATGATGAAGAGATTTTAGGAATTTTGTCCAAACCAAGGGAAGAAGTACGTTCCATGTTTTTAAAAAGACCTGTAGAGGGATATTATAAATTATAATAGAAAACAACCTTTGTTCTGATGAGACAAAGTTTCACAAGTTTTTCTGGCTTGATGTTACACAGTTCAAATGTGTGCTATTAGTTTAGTCGAAAATGATTTACACAACAAAACATTTTGTCTTTCAAAGCAGTGTGCAGTGATTGACGAGGAGCGATCATCGCTCAGCAGTCAGACACACCAGCCGCTTCTGGCAAAACAGGCCTTCAGTAAACTGTCCGACAGTTGGTTTCAGTCAGTCTTCTGGTACTTAATTTACAGTGAGGTTAGAGTCAAGATTTGATTTTTTATTAAAGCACAACATTCTATCAATTTTTCATCGCCTATCTTGATGATTATTACAAACAGCACTTAAAATATAAACACAATTATTTAAATAACAAAAACACAATTTTTTAAATGTCAAACATGTAAATCACACATGTCAAGAGTCCCAACAACCCCAAAATATCGGTTGGAGGAAATCTGAAATTGACTGCAGAGCGACTGACGGAACTGCTCCGTATGAGGGTTGATAGCGTAAAAGAAATTTGTTGACTGCGATGTGTCTGAACTGTGACATACCGGAACTGATGTGTGTGAATCCACCTTAACTGGTAAATTTAGAGGTGCTGATTCTATAAATTATGAAATTTATAGTTGTAAACAATACTGTGAAAAATGTAACTTTATTATAGCTACTGCAGTAATAACATGATTTATCACTAGTATACTTGTATATTGTGTATATATATTTAAAAGTATTAATTGAATATTTTATATGTTATAATTGATAGTTTATGTAAATAAAATATAGGCTAATATCAATATCACTTATGTTTTTATTTTACACATAAAATGTTTTTAAGGTGTTAAGACGATGTTTGATTATTTATATTTAATAAATTTACAAATTGGTCCTCAATTTGCACTGTGTACTACTTACATTCTTCCTAGTATGGCATCATTTCTTAGAAAGTGGATTATAGCAGCAAGATATAGTAGTTTTTACCACTAGAAGTGAATGTGGCTCTTTTTGTACCAAAAAGACACTAGGTAACTTTTCTTCCATGTGACAAACAACTATTTTCATCATACTGTGGAAATAACCTTCTAATCGTTACAAAATTAGACCACATAATTTGAGGTTATACAAGGTCATCATCAATGTTTACACTTTGGTTGTTTACAAACATAGCTTAAATATTGTGTAATTAATTAGTAGCGATTTCATAATGCACCTTTGATAAAATTTTGAGGTTAGCAAACTGAAAAGTTTTACCACATGTTTTTTCTGTTCCCTATTTTAAGTTACCCGAAAAAATGATTTTGCTAATGATTTAGAGAACTAAAAACGGCTGCTTTCCGGACAGTATGATGTAAACTCTTTATTTAATTGTTTGTATTGTAATAACATTGGGTTTTCTTGTCTAATAACTAATAAGGCTAATAAGTTTGTGATAATCCCTGTGTATTCAACTTTTTTTAACCTAGGACATTAAGTTAACAATAATTTGCATGGTTAATATTTGTCAACAGATGGTGTATTATTGGAGATTACAGTAATCTCTTCTTTTAAAATCTAAGAGATTTGATTGATCAAGGTAAGAGATGAAAATACATAATAATTGATAAATTATTTATAATGATGTATTACAAATGTTAATTCACAATATGATTATACCAAAACTGCTCACAGCCAAATTTCAAACGATGAATAGCTAAGCTTATTTCAGGGCTAGCATTTAGCCTGATGATATGACAGATGTTTTAATCTACACAGTTACATTTTATTTAATTGGTTAGGTATATAATGTTCAGTAAAATCACAGGAATGTAAAGCTTAGCAGTGTATAAAAATACTTTTCAAACTAAGTAAGCATGTTGGTAAAAGTCAATAAAATTCTGCACACTATACATGTTATTGGTAAATGTCTATCCATGATATTTTGAAGGTGGAAGAAGATAATGGTGGTAGTGGTAGTGATGTATGCATAAATTATGTCAACTGAACCTGCAACAGAAAATATCAAATCACCATTAATTGTCATGCAATACAGTAGCCAGAATACCTCATTAGATTTAAATTTGCAAAAAACAACATTCAAAGCTGTATAAACAATTTTCATAGAAAGAAAATAAGGGCATGCTGTATGAAAGTTAAATTTTTTTTAGACCAAATGGTTGCTTTGCTTTCAATAATTCCTAGAATAGAGCAACGCCAGCCACTATTGACATTGGATCGGTGCATAATACATTCCTGTAGGTTAGATTAAGACTAGCAAATCTGACAAACAAACCCAAATTACCGGCGGATTCCAACTGGATGTAAGGAGTAATGGGGGAAGATTTAGAAGAGTTACGAGAAAATAAGTTTATTCCTAGAAAGATAAAAGTTTGAAGTTCAGGATTTTAATACCACTTCTACAACTGGGGCCAGCGAAAATACACTATATACACTGATAAAATTAACTCATACACTAAAAGTTGGTTAATTTAAAAGAATGACGTACTTTTATCACAGGCTAAAATAGCCTATTGCATTTTTTAATTTTATCTTTGTATGGACTTCAAGTGTTTAAACATATGTCTTTAGTGTTGGTTAATTGTAATATAAGCTAACAAAGTCAGCAGAGTAGCAATATATTGTATTAAACGAAATACAATCAATATCAGGGTAAAACTAAAATGTAAAATGATACAATATTAAAAGCCTCAGCCAAAGTTCATGACTCCAGCTCCAGGTTGTCTGTTTAATATTTCAAAATGTTTGCAGACAACATAAGCAGTGTACGAATACAAAATCACCGAGAAGTAAAATATTTCCCGGTGACGAAAGTGAGATTGCATAATAATCAATGGGTATACGTTATAAAACGTTAAATTTGTCACCTTAGTTCGTTATCACTAAAGAGGCCTAACGAAATTAAACGATAACATCATATTATTAATAACTTTAATGTTATTACTTGTTCAATACAATTATTACAATATGTAATTGATAAGTAATACCATAGATATAACATACTCCCTCAGTAAATTTCCCATCTTTATGGAACAGTTGAAGCCAATTTTATCGTTAGTTCTTTCTGGTTTTCTGTAGATGTCGTGTTTTGTTTACAACTTGTTTCTTGTTATTTCATTAATTTAAAACCTCGTTTAACCAAATAAAACTAGCTAATCATAGCAAACAATAACTCGTCCACTAGCTATATTAACCAAACAGTGAGACACGAATTATGAGAAACTAACCCTAAAATAATAGAAACAAATTGTAAACAAAACACGACATCTAAAGAAAACCAGACAGAAGTAACAATAAAATTGGCTTCAACTGTTCCATAATGATGGGAATCTACTAAGGAATCACGAATACTAGAAAAGACCCGGTATGGATCATAAACATAAGCAAATTACGTTTTTGGTCCGAAAGTAAACACTATTTAATATTGTTTAAATGGAACTGTCTAAACAATATTAGTATAGGATTCGGGCCAAAAACGTAATTTGTTTATGTTTATGATCCATACCGGTATTTTTCTAGTATTCTAGTAAGGAACTATGTTTTATCTAGTTTACCAGTGCCAGTGGTACGGTATTTGTGCGCCAAACACACTTGAGTTACCGTACCGAACAGTCAACAGCCTAAAGACTCCCTTTACTTCTACCGGTACTACACCTTCACCCTCACTACACTTGATCTGACCTTCATCACACCTAATGTCAATCATCTGGTGTTAGTTGTGTGCGTGTTTGTTACTCCGCTCAACAATAAACTTTCACTGAATGTAATTTAGAGTTTTATGGTTTTAATTAAACTTCTCTGATACTGCATTGTCATTTATAAACAATTACTAAGCTATAACAGTTTATAGTTGTTTTTATAAATTAAAATATTGAGCGTAGTGACAGAAATAACACACAAAAAAATCATTCAAAATCCACACAGGCCCACTTTTACAAACGGGCAGACTGGGCATATGCCCAGGGGCGCCGGAGGTTTGGGGGCGCCCCCCAACCACCGCCCGCTCACACTAGAAAAAAAGGGGGCGCTGCATTTGGGTTTGCCCAGGGCACCACTGACCCTTTACGCGGCCTTGAATTCACAGACAAAAAATATTCAATTTAGATAAATTTGAGATGATTAGGTTTGAGTAGCGACCACAGAACTTGAAGAATGGTTCTGATATTTGGATTTTTATATTTTTAGACTTCCATGTTCGCAACTCTGGATATGTGTGTCTATGAATAATCACTAAACGACCACCTATAATGCCTAATGTGTACATTTCAGAGCACATATTCCATAAATTATGACGTCTAGTGGTCTATGATTGTTAGGTGTTTGAAACTTAGGTGTTCGGCCTAGTACTTGCCTTTTAAATACAACTAGATAACCTGTTGCTCGAAATTGAGCAAAACTGCACCGGCCACTCACAGTTCTTTACCTTATAGGCATTTAATTTGAAATTTAAATAAAATATGAAAGTTAACCAAACAACAGAAAACAAAACTTCAAATAAATTTTTATACAAGTTGTAAATTACGTGATAAAATGGTAAGGTAACGGGTAACTGCGATGGGAATAAGCACTTTTAAACATGCACATAATTATACCGAACTGTAACCAAAACCACATATAATTTGGTAAAATACAATGTACTTTTACAATGAAGGCCTAAGGTAAATGAATTCAACTATTACAGTACAAACAATTTGTTGTCAAGTCTTGCTAGGAAATTCTTTATTTACTAACCAGACTTAGAAAACAGATGTTAAAATAAAAATATTATAAAGCCTGGCTTTTATTTGCTCTGGAAGTAAAGTCCAGCAGTCTTTGGTTAACCTTAAAGAACTATTTCAACCTTATGTCCATAAGTTATGTTTAAAAGTGGTAAACTAAGTGAATTGAGTTTGATTCAAGGTCGACTGATGGCGCCACTGTTCCAAATGTTAGCCCTTAACTGTACTTAAGTTATACCCTTTTAATATCCTTAGACATATTAGACATATTTGCACATCTATGTGAAAATACCTTTAATATGACACCTCAAACGTTAAAATCCGTCCAGCCATTATTGAGTTATGACTGTGAAAAGAAAACTACTTGCGCGTATTAATATAGATTTTAAGAATAGGCTATAAGTTTAAGTTCAGAAAATGTTAACAATTTTTATAAAAATATCCAGTGTTTGGATTAAAAAACATAAAGTTAAATTTATCATACCTCCTAACGAAAGAGCCTATTAAGTTTGTAAATAAATGTAGCCTAGTAAATAACTAGTCTGGGAGACCTACAACTGAATCAACAAAGGAACTTGAATTTGTTAAGAAAAAAGATGTTCATACAATTTTATTGCTTAGGTAGCCTATTATTAATAGGCTGCAGATTTCACTTAAATCTAAATTATTAAAACTAGTGTTTAGAACAATTTTGATAAATTGTTTGAACTGTAATTTGAACAGTTCATTTTTCAAATTTCCCCCGGACCCGGGGGGTACCCTCCAAGAGGAAGGAGGGACCCCACCTTGACAAAAGTCTATCTACGCCAATGTAGCTTAGCCTACTGATAACTTACTTGTATGTTGGCTGCATTTATTTTAAAATTATTAGGCCTATCCATCTGCAAAATCCTTTTCTTATTTCATACTCTTCTTCCTTCGGTGCTTGGTTCTGTTTCCACTTGAAGGTTCTCCAACAACTATATGTCCTTCAGCAATTTCATCTTTTTGCTCACTTGCCATTACCTGTTTCTCAGCCTCAAAGTAAAACATAATATCACGAAGTTGTTCTTTCAGTTCTGATATTTCCTTGTCCTTTTCTGATTTAAAGCAGTTGAATTTATCTTCTAATTCTGAATACTTCTTTTGCCATGCAGATTGATTGGCCTGCATTGCTTTGCTCATTTGGCGTTCTTCTGTTAATTCATTTTGAGCCTGGTTCAATCTTGTAGTGAGTTGTTGGATTTTTTTGTCAGCATTAACTTTGTCTTTTTTTAAAAGGGTGATTTTTTCTTGTAGGTTTTTATTTTCTTCAGTCTGTTTGACCAGTTCCTCTTTGATTTTTGAAGTGTTCTCAAGACTCTGTTGCTCAAATCTTGCTATTAGGTCTTCAAAATACAGTCGTTGAGAGTCCAGCTGTGAAGTAAGAGTGTAAGTAAACTCCAATTGCATTGAATCTAACTTCTCGGTAGTTTCTTCTTTACCTGGAACATTTCCTTCAACCAATTTTCCATCAGCTTTATTTTGAAGCAGTCGATGGACAAAATTGTCACCAACATAATCCCAAACTCGGTTGTTCTCCAGCTGCATTGAATAACAATGTTGAGTGTCTAAATAGTGCTTGAATGCATGGCCATGTACATATCTGCCACAACCGACATGTCCACAAATAAGGCAAATCCAAAGTGAATCAGCAGAGTTACATTCAAAACAACGGTTATCTGCCACTAGTTCAGGTGTTTGAACGTAACGACAAACTGGACAAGTTGTATCTCCCCACTTTGAAAGGCAACTGCCATGAAATGAGTGGTTACAAAGAATTGTTAAAATCCCATCAACAGATTCATCCATTCTTTCAAGGCAAACGGGACATGTTGGTAGCTCTGTGTGGAGTATTGGAGGGATTTGAGCTTCTCCTTCAGTTACTGATTCTACATGAGACACAAACACCAAGTTGCAACATGAAGTTGGTTCAAGAGAATTAAATGGTATTCCATTATAAGACATGTAAAAGTTAATTGACGATTGTTCAGAACGAAATGTTAAGAGAACCATATATTGATTTGGAGAACTATCACGTATGACACGGATATTCTTTATATCTCCCTGACAAGCGGCTAAGAAAGTAATCAAATCATGACAGGTCATTGATGCTGGTACTGCCAGGATACAAACAGTTTGACTTGAAGCTGCCTTATCAACAGATGTTAATTCATTTTCTTTGTATAGATGGAGAATACCTTTGGTAATTTCAACAAAGGGATTACCTGACACAAAATTAACTAGATCACAATCTTCTTTTGAAGAAGACTGATCAGGTTCTTGTGATTTCCTATCCCGGTTTGAAAATGAGTTAGAAACTAGAGGTTTTGGCACAGAAGTCTCAGTTTTATGTGGATATGTTTCAACAGTATATTCTCGAATATCTCTTCTAGTTCTAGATTTTGAGTTGTTGCCTTGACTGGAGGCCATAGTACAGTCACTAGAATCTAGATCTTCACCCAACAAGTTGCATAATTCAAATCTGATCATACAAACTGAAACAGATACTGACATCTGTTGCAAACCTAGGTAATATCTGTTTAAATTGAATGCTCATAGAACTAAACAAATTTGAGGTGAGTGAAATTATCTTGAGTAATAGGGGCCTAAGGTGAGTTAGCGATCAAATGTTGAACAAAAACTGTTTTATCAGCGGTCAAAACCTACTAAACCAACACCACCTGACGAATTTAAACTGATCCGATTATTGAGAAATGTTACCATTCACAAATGATTTACTGTTTCGTTTTCCTGAAAGTAAAATACAAGTGAAACAAACACAATCAGTAACTTGACAGACAGAGTAGTCACAAAATGACGTTTGAGGAGGAAGCAAGCATTGTAGTTCACATATCAAAAAATAGCCAACCAAACCAATCACTGATCACCTGACCTAACAGACAGATAGCGGGGAAATCAACCAGTAGTTTTTTTTCAACACTAGTTAGTCTTTGAATATTAGATCATTCAAAACTTAAGATATTTTTAACCTTCGCTGAATCTTTCTTTGTAAATGAATGTAAATAGAAACAATCCAAATCAAACAGGATATGAAAAAGAGAATGATTGATTAAAGAACAAAATACAGCAAAAAATAGGGCGATGGTTTATCTTATATAGAGTATATAATATTGTCAATAATAGTATTACTATTGTATTTTATTCATCCCTATCTCATTATTTATTCCTACTTCTATAATCTAATGTTCTATAGTCAATGATAAAACATACTCCTCAAGGACATACACTCCTTAGTAGATTTCCCATCATTATGGAACAGCTAAAGCCAATTTTATTGTTAGTTCTGTCGGGTGTACTGTAGATAGATGTCGTGTTTTGCTTACAATTATTAGTTTCTATTATTTTAAGGTTAGTTTCTCATGATGCTATAGCTACTGTGGCTGAAGTTGTTGCTAGCTACTTTTTCAGAACTGTAGCTGAAGATAAGCTACTTTTTTGGAAATGTAGCAGTCTGTTGTAGCTAGCTACATTTTAAAAGTAGCTTCCCCAACACTGCATTTCAAAGTTAACATTAGAACTGACAAATTACTGCTAATCTCACAATTTAAGATAGCTGATCCAATGAAATTAAATATATTTTACACAAAGCCTATATGGCAGGATAATAAAAACTTTATCATACAAAGATAATTTATTCTTAATCTATGTCAATGATTATGAAACCGATTTTTCTTCCCACTGTTATGTTCGTTATGTTATGACTGCTAGCAAGCATCTACTCTTTAATCTATGGTAATATATGGATGGCTAACTTCCTTTCCCTCCTTTCGTTGGCCATCCACTTTTTTCGTCTTGACAAACTCCAATTCCAGAATTCCAGGTCTTCTTCTTCTTCTCTTTGTAAATGTAAAATCGCATCATTGGATTGGCCAATGGCCATTGCATTATTTACAACGATGTTCTGTTCCCGCGTTCCCTTTCCCTTTCCCTTCCCGGTTTCTCCTCAGTCCTCACTCCTCAGTCCTCATCGTTTATCGTTCGTTCCTTGTTCGTAGTTAATTATTTCTTGGTTAGGAATTAAGGATAAGGATTGAGATTCAGATTGTCTATCGCCTTTTAATAAGTTACAATAGATATTTTAAAGCCAGCATCATGAAATTAGTCAAGTAAGTATTAACTTTATAAATTATTTTCAGGATATTTTGGAGGATTACGAAGTAGGCTACTAACTAACCGACAGGCCAATCAAATTTGTGTTGTGCCTACCGGCATCAGCCACCCACAATTGATATGAGGCTTGCAGGGCAGGCTGCATCCTAGCCTAGCCTTATCAGAATAAAAACAATTGTTAAGTGAGGCGTTTTCGTATTTGTACATGAAAAACGCTCTTATCCCATGTAGCCTACTAACTTGCCTGAAAATGTGTAAGTTAAATGGTTATTGTTTGATTACCTGCTAGGCCTAAGTAGGCTAAGGTACAGTTTATTAACTGGGCTAAGCTAATATTGATTGAAACTATCGATTTGATTAGTAAGCCTTCATGCGATTTTTTTCACCATCAGCAAGTTTGGTTGGTTAGGTTAGGTTATGATAGTTTAATTTTATAATAGGTAGATATATTTAAAAAATATCGATTATTAGTCAATATTTCTAATTTTGATAGTTTCAATCGATATTAAGTTAGCATAGCACAGTTAAGAAACTGTACCCGTAGGCGAATCTTAAACCAAAGGCCTGTCCTGTCCTATAGGCGTCACGCTACATCCATCCGGTCGTGAAGCATCATCCTCACCATTGTTACCATTTTTTAGCCTTTCACTCATTAAAAATTAATTGTACTTTTTCGTTTCAAAGTTCGTGTTCGTGACCACGTTCGTGTATGAATCTAAAATGTGTGTATTGACGACTTTCTGATGAAGTGATTTGACATCCCCTGGACGCCCGAAGATGACTTTGTGAGAAGTTAAAACTAGTTGCGTCATAGCAGCAACATTTTGGATTATAAGAATTGACAATAGGTATATTTAAACCAAATTTGGAAATTTTGATTTACTAGCCTAAGCTATCGACACTGCAATAAAAAAATAAATCTCAATATCTTCTCTGTACAACAGCAAACCTAGGTAGGCTACTCACTAAAATTAATGTTAATTAAATAGGATATATACCTATCTGACAATTTTTAGGGAATATTTTAGTAGAAATCCAGCCAGGTAAATAGAATTTTGCTTAGTCTGCAGGTTTGCTGCAGCGAGGGTATTTGTTGAAATGTCGATAGGCCTAGCTTAGAATGAAATAGGTACGGTAGCCTAGGTACCTATACAAAATTGCCAAATGTGATTAAAATATACCTACCTATTCTTAAAAAAACACTAACAAAAAAAAAAAAAAACTACTGCAGTTTTTTTTTAATTCTGCCATAAGAACAACATGGGAATTTTTTAATAACTTTTACAATTTTTTTTATTATCTGCGTAACCGTTAGGCATAGCCTACAACAACCCTTCAAATTTAGAAAATTAGCCTATTTAATTTTTTTAAGCTCTACAAAATGGTTCGGAAAGAAATTGTGAAATTTGGTGTTTTCAGTGTCAAAAATGGGAAAAACCAATTTCAAACCCATTAAATACTTGAATACTTGAATCCTGCATCTTTGACAGATCTAGTCTGATAGATTGCGTCATAATTTATAATATATAATCAGATAAAATAAAACTATATACAATATTTACAAAACCATATAAATGGCTACTATAAAAAAAAACTTGGCCGTCTATTGGATGGCAAGGCGGACATACGCTATTTTACAAGGGGCTCATCCTCGAGTTCTTTAAGGGAGTAGAGCGGTCTTTTAGCAAGTATCCCTTTTAGTTCCCTCTTGAAGGATGGCATATCCATCTCCCGCATCTGGGTAGGCAGAGTATTAAATATTCTGATCGCTGAACGGGGATAGCAGCTCAAGGTACGACTGAGACGGCAGCGGGGAACGTCGATGTTATGGGCCTTCCTAGTATGGTAATCATGCACCTCCTCTCTCTTACTGTAATCCCTCAAGTTGTTCTTTAGTAGGATCAGAATATCCATAACATATTGACTATGTACTGTGAGCACCCCTAGTTCCTTGAAGATTGGCCGGCAATGGTCCAAATACCCAGCAGATGTAACAATCCTCAAGGCCATTTTTTGTAAGAGAAGTATATCCTCAGCTGCTGAGGAGTGCCCCCAAAGTACAAGTCCATAAGTCACATGACTGTGAAACAAGGCGTGGTACACGGATAGGAGAGATGATCTAGGAATTTCAGACGCAAGTTTTCTTAGGAGATGGAGCACACGAGATAACTTGACACATGTCTGCGCAATGTGTTCGCTCCAACTTAGTCTGGTATCTAATGTAAATCCCAGAAGCTTTACATTGCCATCTTCCCCTTCTCTCCGCTTCAGCGTACAAACCAGGGACTGGGTTTTGTCATCATTGATTTTCAAGCGGTTTACAACAAACCAATCCTTGGCTCTCTCGAGCAGGTCTTCAGCCTCTGTAGGCAGTTGGTGAATATTTACACCTCTAGTCAGCAGTGTTGTATCATCTGCAAATAATAATGTTCTCCCACTCAGATGAAGGTCGTTGATCATTATAGTAAAAAGGAGAGGGCCGAGGACAGATCCCTGTGGCACACCGTGTGAGAGATGGCCTATGCTGGAAAGGGCTCCTCGCAGAGATACAACTTGCTTACGGTCCTTCAGATAGTTTGAGAGGCTCTCGAGAACAACACCGCCAACGCCATACTTTCCTAGTTTTAGCAGGAGGATATCATGAGGTACTACATCAAAAGCCTTGCTTAGGTCGCAGAGGCTAAGCTGCACGGACTCATTTTGCTCAAATGCTTCAGAGATGGTGTTGACTAGGCTCAGCAAGGCGGTGGTGGTAGAGCGGCCTTTACTGAATCCATGTTGGGCATCAATAAACAGACTATTGTCCTCAAAAAACGACATGAGTTGGTTCTTCATTATCGTTTCGAGTATCTTTGAAAACACAGGTAGAATGGAAATAGGCCTGAAATTAGACAAAGTGGAAACATCACCCTTCTTATGGACGGGTACGGTTCTAGCCATTTTCAATAAATCTAGGAATGAGCCTTTACTGAGACATAGATTGACTAACCAAGTGAGGGGTACAACTAAAGAATCGATAAGAGCCTTTAGGGCCATGCAGGACACTCCGTAAATATCTTGGCTTCTAGAATTTTTAAAGTTCTTAACTATTGATATGATATCATGAGTACTCACCAATTTCCAAGTTGTTAGTGTGAGTGCTGGTTGAATGTCATTAATCGAGGCCAGAGGGTCCGTCTGTAAAACAGGCAGGTTAGAGACAATGGCCTGAACACTACTTAAAAAGAAGTTGTTAAAATCATCAGGTGATGCTTCAGTATTTAGAATAGACCTCTGAGTACGATGCTTATTTACAAGATTCCAAGCAGCTTTACAAGGATTTGGAGACTGCATGATTGTCCTAGCATTACCTGCTCTCTTGGCCTGAGTGACCGCAAATCTGTACTTTTTCTTTACCCTAGTGTAGAGGTTCCTAAAAGTAGCAATAAGTTCAGGCGAGTCAGCAGCCTTGTAGTGATCATGGAGAGTTTGCAGAAAGGATCGCATTTTGGCAAGTTCTGGAGTATACCAAGTCTTACTTACCCTACAAGGAGCTTTACTTTTAGGCCTACCATCAACTACTTTTTTGGGTTTTATAATCTTAACAGGAAAAACTGAGTCAAATTTGTTGGTAAACAAGTCATGGAAAGTAGAAAAAGCAATTTCTGGGTCAGGTTGTTGCAGGAGTAAATCCCAATTTACCGCTCGTAGAGCATTACTAAGCAGAGGGAAATCATTTTCATTAATCACTCTCTTTAGAATCTGATGACTAAAGCTACTGGAAGACAGTGGATTTCTTACCAGATCAGAAGAAACACTTAGGATAACCGCTCCGTCATGGTCGGCCACCATCGAATGAACCACTTGGACATCGTAATCCCAGGAGTCGAGGTTTGTAGCAGCCGTGTCAAGGCAGGCTGGTCCTCTGGTAGGTAGTCTGGTTGTTATAAACAGTCCGTAACTCCGCAGTAGATTCACAAAGGTTGCTTCCTCATGGGAGGGGGACTCCAAGTGAACGTTAAAGTCACCACAAATAATAAGTTTTTTAGGTTCAAATCTGGAGAGGTAGCTCAGACTTTGTTCAAGGTGGTTAATAAAGTCCCCAAAAACTCCGTCCGGGGATCTATAGACGGCTACGAGGATAGTAGAAATGTTAACAATCTCCACTGCTGCCAATTCAAGGGTCAGCTCTATACAGAATCTATCCAGGTTCAGTTTCCTGCAGTTGGCCTGGTCAGAAGCGAAAATTGCTACACCACCATTTTTGTGGTTACTTCGACAGAAAATACTAACCAGATTCAAATTAGCTAGAGTTTGGTAGTACACACTCTCTTCTTCCACCAGCCAATGTTCAGTCACAAAAGGAAATCACATTTGGTTTCCTCGACAAAAAGTTCGAGCAAGTTTATTTTAGTCCTTACACACTGAGTGTTTAATATAGCAATATTTACACGGTCTGGTCCCTTCTCAGTTTCAGCCCTATGGTCAGGGGTAGTTAAGTTGATTTCAGTTTCTTTACATGCAACGTCTAGCCTAGGCCTAGGCCCTGATTCACTATCACAGCCTAACCAAAGAACTGGATTTGGGTTAACTATGTTGTCACTGTTCTGTACACTGTTCTCCCTAAAAAAGAAGGAGACGACCTAGGTCCACGTTTTTTCTGGAGGAAAATTCGGACTAAAACACCTGTGGGCCAAAAACCTGGATCAAGAATCCTGTGAGATGACTGCTCGGGAACAGCAATCTTAAAGGACTTTATATGTTCTGAATCTAGGGCTGAGATCAACTCATTCACTCTCCTCAACACCTTTTTCCTTCAGGTATTTGGACAAACCTTCCTTAGTAGTTTCAGGAGACACTCGGGACACGAAGAATAGAGACTGATTAACAGCTGGTTTTAGGCTAGTTTGTTCAGCACAAGTGCCTATTATCACTTCACTACCTACTCTTGATAGGGGCCACCCTGTCACCTTTTGCCACGTTTTTCACAGTATTTTTCTTAATTTTTAGAGAATCCGCGTATGAGAGCTTATTATTTGAGGTTAGCGAACAATTTTCAACCTCAACATGCGGTAACGAGACTTCATCATTTTCCGCTCCAGTTTCAGCAGTTTCATTTTCCACTTTATTGGAAGAATTCTTTTCCACTTTACGGTTTTTTTTACTTTGGTCCACGTTCCGCTGTTTCAGTCTGTTTCCCAGCCTTTCCATTGAGCTGTTAGATTTATTCTGCAATGGGTTACCCGCTTCACTCCGCTGACTCCGCTCAATTTCATCTTCGTGGATCCTATTCAATCCATTGACTTGAGCTACTCCGTTGTGGTCTGATTGTTCCACTGCCACATAGGTTTCGTCTGTTTGATTTTTAACCAATGGGGTCTCAGGGCTTTTTGTTAGTTCCATAGAAGAGTTTGAATTTCCCGGGTTAGGTTCCAGACATGTCAAATCAGGTTCAGATTGTAATAAAGAAATCGAAAGGTTATCCGATGTTTTAGAATCTAGGATCCTGCTAACTCCAACTTTAGTTTTGATACTATTGTTAATTAGAATATTAATTTTCCTCTCTAACTTCTCCCCAAGTTTTGCAAATTGACTTACATGATTTTTTATCTCATTCATCTCACTAACGATTCCAGGCTGGCCTCTGTCCAGGATAATCAGGCTCATCACTCTGCCGTCACACACCTTACAAAACCATCGGATTTCTTCTTCCATCTTGCGAATTTCGTTATATTTCTTTGCAGAGATGTTGACGCATTTGGCATGGTGCCAAGAACCGCACATTCCTTCACAAAAGAGGGATTTATCCGTATCTTCACAAAGTTTTTTACAACAGGGACAAACTAGCACTTCAGTATCATCCGCCATTGCTAAAGCCTGGTTTACACTGGTAGAGTTGTGGGTAGATTAGAGTTTCTAGTAGAGCCACTATCTTGTTCACTCTACCGATTTACAGAAGCCGGCTGTTCACACCCAGTAAAGTGTTGATGATAGTGTGCCTCACTGTTTGTGTTGATGATAGGTTTTTAAATTCCTCAAAATGAGCGTTGTTGTGAAGAAAATACAAATACAATAATATTCACACAGAACACGCTTAAAGACATGAAAGTAAACAATATAAGTCTCAAATACAGCTCAAGACAGCTTCACCCTACTGGAAACTCTGCTGGTTTGCGAAGTCATATGAATAAACGTACGTTTACACGTTTGTACCAAATTTAATCAAAATCGGATCATTTTTGCTCCATGTATATTTTTAACGGAGGGTGTTTTTGACCTCTGGGGACCTCTAAACGAAAAAGTAAATGGATCCCGGGTCTAGGTCTTACCATGAGACCTACGGTATGGTAATAGCTATTCCCCATATGAGAAATTCGTTAAAGGGTACATGTCCCTGTAACATTTAATTCTTTAGTAAAGTTTTTTGATTGACCCTATGTCTAGTCCAAATTTTTGTTTAACCATAACCATTCATTATTGCAGATTTTTAATGAAACTGAGCCATGAAACTGTCACGATAGAGTTGAAGAACGGAACACAAGTCTTTGGCACCATTACAGGTATAATTTGCTAGTATTAGGTACTAGTATAAAGTTAACCCAACGTAAAACTTTGATTTATAGCATACCCCACCTGTAACTCTATACCTAGGTACTAGTTAGATGTATTGTCATAGGCCCAATAAATCCTAGCCATGGGCCTATAAATGGCAAGATAAATTGGCCTAATAAATTATAGTAGGGTATACGCATATGATTATCAAAATTATAGTAGTCACGGTGTTACAAATTTTACCAAGTTTTTTGTTTATTAGGCTATTTGTTGTAAATGTGATAGATTTGGATAACAAAGTATTGCTTAGCCTAATTTAGACTAACTTAAGGATTGTCATTAGTTATGTGTTACCTTGGTCATTACAAGCATTTCAAGAAGAGGGTTTGGGTTTTAGCTTTAAACCTGGAATAACTAAGCTATCCTATCATACAACAGGGCCCAGATGCAGTTTAGAACTAGGCTTAACTGTATCTAATAGGGTAAACCAATTAGGATCTAGAAACAGGGAGGATGACAAAAACTATACTGACAAAGTATTTTAATAACCTCCTTCATGTAGAAGGTTAGGGTAGTAAAATGCAGACCCAGATTTTACAACTGAACTAAATTAACTTACTACCTTTCAATTCAATACTTAAGTTTATAACCGTTTTATAACTTTTTTTTAACTAATGTTAAGTTATTTAGCTTAATTCCCCTGAAAGTTTGAAAATCTCTGTTTTATTTTTCTGATAAAGCCAATTTAATAACAATGGTATCATACATTGCAAATCATGATCTATTAACTGGTAAATTTAAAAAGAAGCGAGCCCTCTCTTAGGGAAAATTTCTACTATAACTTAGTTTTAGGAATTTAAAATTAGTATTTTGTAAAGCTAAGGCCGTCGACACACGGGAAGACTGTTTTCCAACTGAAATCGGCAACCAGTTGGACAAACTAGTCGCCTACGTCCCAACCAATGTAGTTAGGTGGGACAGTGCACACGGGGCGACTGCGATGCGACCAGTTGAGGACCAGTCGGCGATCAGTCGTTAAGCAACCGGACCTGCCGGTTGCTAGGTGATTTCAGTCACCTGGTTTGAACAACTTTTCGCATATTTGTATTGCGCTTTTCAAGGATCAGGTATACCAACTGCGATAACTTTGTAAGCACTTTTTGACATCCTGTACATAGACTGAAATTTTGCGTCTGTTTCTTGTAATGCAGCAGCAGCTACAAAGAGCCTACATGAAATATTTGTTTTAACATAAGGATGTACCCAACACCTTCTACTCTACGCTTTCTTGATTGTTTATAAAACACCAGGGCTTCTTCATCACTATTACTCATTTCAAACACCATACGCAGTACACAGTATCGTTATAACAAAATTAGAACTAATTCACTGTCACTGTCTCAACTCAATTATAGTCGCGCCCGTGTGCGGATTAAACCAACGCAACTGCAACCGTAATCGCGTCACAAAACAGTTGGTTCAACTTTAGTTGGGTTTCAGTCTTCCCGTGTGTCGACCGCCTAACATTTGGTAACTTTTTCAGGAGTGGATGTAGCCATGAACACTCATCTGAAGACTGTAAAGTTAACAGTGAAAAACAGACCAACAGTGCAGTGTGATTCATTGAGTATTCGTGGAAACAATATCCGCTACTACATTCTACCCGATGCTCTACCACTGGAGACACTTCTAGTCGATGACACTCCCAAGGCCAGGGCAAAGAAGAAGGACCAATCTAGAGGTAAGGGAGTTACCAGTTAAGTGAATAGAGGTTTTCTCTTCTCTTGTTTGTTTTTCTTGTCTACGCCTAGTGAAACAGAGTGTTATTCAAACGCCCACCCATGGGCCTATAGAATATCCGTTCCTTTTCCTTTCACTTTTTAAGATATCCTTATTCTATCTTTCTACTTAGCAAAGTTAAGACAATTGTGCTGATTCTGTATATGTTTTTGTTGTTGTTTTTAGGTGTTAATGCCAGATTTTAGGTACATAACTGACTTACATATTTGATGTGTAGTCTTTGTAAATTGTTCTTTATAATTGCATAAAATTATAAAAAGCTTACTTTGCAATAAAGGGAAAAAATAATTGGAATAATTATTTAGGGCCTTAAACCAAATTGTTGAATGCTATCCACATTTTATTTAATAACCCACTTAACAGAGCAAGGAATACTCAAGTGTATATAATAATAATGGTTTGAATACTTACCTGATTCTGGCAATCCAATTATTGTATTCCACAACTAGTTTTGACCTAGTAGGAGGTCATCATCAGGTGTGTTAGGATTAATATGATTACTTCACATCAAAGTCGTCAGGATTAAAATTTGTTGACACATATTTAACGACTGACGGTTCGCTAATGATGTTTCCCACGGCAGTAAAACTATTATCGTAACAGTGTTGATATAAAGAGTTTTTTTCAGTTAAAGTATTTCTGTAACAATTCTACTTTGTTACGTGCATAATAATTTATTTGCCGTTTCAAGTAGTTTGTTGCATTTTTTACGTTTAAAGCACTAAAACCATTTTTACATATTTTTTTTTTATATGCCGTGGGTAATTGAATTGTTCTGTTCAGAGTTCAATGAGGAACCATAGTATAGCATTATTTTTTAAAAGATAATAAAAATAAAGGAACTAATGAGATAATCCCGGCATGATGTCACCATAAACCTGCCTCCTACCAGGTATGAGTTGTATCTCAAACACCATTGTTCTTTTGGGCTCCATTTGAGCTCGGACTTGACTCGTGAACCCACCAAGTTTATCCTCGAAAGTCGGGACCATCTGTAATTGGGCTCGTGAAGCAAACTTTTAAAACCAGTTTTTATCCCTGCACTAATTGTGTGGAGTCTGTTTTTATCCCTGCACTAATTGTGTGGAGTCTAACCTTTATCCACAGCTTATGAAGTCTCAACCTTGTGAACTCCATCTTTTAAGCCGCAGTGCAAATACCAGTTATTTCCGGATTCTGGGCTCGATCTACGATAAACCCGAGCTCATGAACATCTTATTCATCAACATTTACATACCCCTTCTTTACCCCCCCCCCCTTAGGCCTACCCTTCTTTATTTTTAACTCCATGCATCTTGACTTTGTCTAAAATCTTCCATCCTCCAAGTACTCGTACTTTAAAAAATTTATCACAATTATAGTTTTTCTTCTTTTTTTGTGACAGGACGCTAGGCACGAGCCCGGGATTGTTTTTTTCATTTTCATATTACTTTAGGCTAGACCTAGAGGTGGCGACAATATCACTTAGATAAAATCCATTGGTGATTTGGCGGGATTTGAACCCGGGACCTCAAGGATTGAAGTCATGAGTTTCAACCACTAGACCAGCTTGCTCCCCCGGTTCACATTCTGTTTGGAAATTGCCTGATTTTGTTTGATAAAATATGTTATTTAATATATGCATCATTGGTAATCATGGATGTCTGTTGTTGCAGGTGCAATGAGAGGTAGAGGTCGTGGTCGTGGAGGTAGGGGCGGCAGAGGAGGACGAGGTAGAGGAAGAGGCAGACGTTAACACCACCAATGCTCCGGTATCATTTCACCCGCCTTTCCATGTAACATTAAGATTTTTGTTGTTTATAGGTTAAGTCGTTTCTTGTGTGTCAAGACATAAAAAAAACCTACTTTTTATAACTTTGTTCTCGTACAAATTGAGGCAATCCGATATGAATTCTGTAAAACTGTTTTGGTCAGATTAATATACGTTTAGGCCTAATCTAAGTATTTTCAACTATGTTCTGGAATCAGACTTGTAAATATTTTAAAATAAAGTTTGATTTTGTACTTAGGTACGTTTGCATTTTTTTTTTACCTGAAACCTGAAAATTGGTGTTGAAAAGAATTTAACCTATTAAGCAGAAGACCTAGTAAACAGTTAGCTTTTAAGACCTAGGTTTAAATCATGATAACAGTAGCTGCTACTCGTCATAATTTTCATTGTTTTGTTAAGTTAAGTGTAGTAGTTCCTATTTTTGCAAATGGCATTTAAAAACAATGAATTTAATGCTTTGTTTCTAAAACCTAAACTGTCCTTTTTTGTAAGTTGCATTAATCCCAGTAAACACAATGTGATTATACTTAGGCCTACAGGCTGTGATACGGTAGACTCCTGATGATTCAGAGTTGGTGGGCCAAGCCAATAACTTTGAATTATCAAGAGGTTTTATTTATCGGGAGAAGACTAAACCATTCAAATTACAAAGAGTTCATTTTATACTGTACTGTGTAAGGTACAGAAAGTTACAATATTAAGCAGCTAATTTTAGTTACTGTTAGCATATGTTTTATTTACATTTTATTTCTAACATGTGTTCAAATTATTATTTTGTTTACTTATTGAATTGTTATGTTTACTTACAGATTGTGGTTTAATAAAAACTTAGCTTCTATTTTCTTATACAAAATGTGAACTTTTATTACTAAAATTAGTGGAATCAACAATGGCGACGAGTAAAATGGTAAGTAGAAAAGAATTTGACTTATGTCTAAAGAAAAGGAAATTACTAGAACTACGCTTGATCAAACTCAAGGATGATTTACCAACATGTGAACATTCTCAAGATACATGCACTTACTACACAGATAAACTTTTAGCAATATGGGCTGAAATTGAGGTTACACAGTCAAATATTGAACTTCACACAAATTCAGTAGAAAGGGAATTAGAAATTCGATGGCAGTTAGAAGAAATATATAGAGAGATACGGACATTCCTTGAAGCAGAAAAGAAAAAGTACGATACACATACAGCAATTTCTGCTTCTGCAACATGTCAAAATGTATCTAATATTCCTTTCCAGCCGTATACACCAGAGGAAAGTTTTCAAAACTTCACTCGACGCTTTGAAAACTACACAAAATTACGGGGAAACTTAAGTCCAAGAGTCAAAGTGGATTTATTTTTACAGGCAATCACCCCACAAATACATGAACAGCTATACGATCTTTGCATACCAGATGACCCACACAACAAGCCATATGAGGAATTGATTCACATGTTAATGGCTCAACTAGAACCAAAACCCAGTATTTGGGCACGTCAGCACAAATTTACGACACGTACCCAATTGTGTAATGAATCTGTACAAGCTTACGCTAATGCTCTTAGAAAGCTCAGTGTAGAATGTCAGTTTACTTGTACAAGTTGTAATGAATCTGTATCTGAAATTCTACTTCGAATGCAGTTTGTCAGGGGATTAAAAGACTCTGATATACGTCTTCAACTTCTTCAAGATAAACTATTGCAACCGTTTAAAGAAGTAGTCGAAAAGGCTGCTACATTGGAACTAGCGAAAAGTGAGAGCAGAATAGTAAAGACAAATGAAAATCAAGAGGAAGTACACCAAGTATCAAGCAAGAACAAACAGCCAGATAGGAAACCTTGTAAATCTAACAATATACAACTCTCGGAGTATCAAACTCGTTTGGAGAAACTGAGAAACAAATGCTATAGATGTGGTGATGATTCACATAGAGCACATCAATGCAAGTTCAAAAATGCAGAATGTAACTCTTGTAAACGTTTTGGTCACTTAGCAAGAGTATGTCTAAGAAAACCAAACAAAGAAGTAAAACAATCAGATGAAACCGCAGAAAATACAAGCGATGATGACACTCATGAAATTTACCAACTTCATTCAAAATCAAATGACAAGTTTATGCTCGAGGTAAAAGTGGAAGGACGACTCATGACAATGGAGTTAGATACAGGAGCGGCTCTCAGCATTGTATCCTATGATACATTTAAGCTTTTAAACTCTCCAAAAAGGATTTTCAAGACAAATGTTCAACTCAAGACATACACTGGGGAAATAATCAATCCAAGAGGAGTTGTTTTTGTAAATGTTCAGTATAAAGATCAAAGTTTTGTTGGAAAACTGTACATTGTTAACAAGTGTGTAGACTCTATATTCGGAAGAGAATGGATAAGAGAGATTCAACTTGATGCAGCTGACATACATTCATTAAATTCAAGTGAAAACGAAAACGTCCAAGAACTAGATGATTTGATGATTCGATACGAAGACATTTTCAAAGAAGGCATTGGGAAAATACCAAAAGAAAAGGGTCATTTTAATGTAAAAGACGAAACCCAGCCAATTTACATCAAACCTAGACACATGCCATATGCATTAAAAGAAAAAGTAGAGAAGGAACTTGAAAGACTGGAGACTTTGGGTATAATCACACGTGTCGAATCATCCGATTGGGGCACACCCATTGTGCCGGTTGTCAAACCCAATGGTTCAGTCAGAATATGTGCTGACTACAAGGTGACTTTGAACAAAGTTATTAAAGACGAACATTACCCTATACCTCGGATTGATGATATCATGTCAAAGATGCATTGTGGAAAGATATTTTGTACTCTTGATATCAGTAACGCATACTTGCACATGGAGATGGACGAAGACAGTGCCATCATGCAAACAATCAGTACTCACAAAGGGCTGTTTAAAGTGAACAGATTAATGTTTGGAGTAAAAGTGGCACCCTTGTTATGGCAAAGATTCATGGACAAAACATTACATAACTTAGAAGGCGTACAATGTTTCTTTGACGACGTAATTGTCCAAGGATCTAACAGGGAACAGCTTCTTCGCCGACTGGAACAGGTGTTTGAACGATTGAAGTTAAATGATTTGAGGTTAAATAGAGAGAAGTGTAAGTTTTTCCAGAACAAAATTGAGTACTTAGGTCATGTGATCGATAGCAAAGGACTACACAAGTCAGATGCTAAAATACAGAGCATTTTAAAATGTAAAAGACCAGAGAACGTAACTGAACTCCGAACTTTCCTAGGCCTAGCGAATTATTACAACAAATTCATAAAGAATTTGGCTACACTGCTACATCCTTTGAATCGGCTGCTACGAAAAGGAAACACTTTTACATGGAGCTCTGCTTGTGAACAGAGTTTTCTGAAGATTAAAGAAATTATTACAAGTGATGACGTGTTGGTACACTTTGATCCTAGCTTGCCACTGGTCTTAGCTACTGATGCTTCGCCGGTAGGTGTAGGAGCCGTTCTTTCGCACCGCTATAGGGATGGAACAGACAGGCCAATTGCCTTCGCCTCTCGATCTTTATCAAAATCAGAACAAAAATACTCTCAGATCGATAAGGAAGCCTTGGGAATATATTGGGGTCTGAAAAAGTTTTTCCCGTTTTGTTATGGCCGCAAATTTACTTTGATCACTGATCACAAACCGCTGGTGTCAATTTTTAATCCAGCAAAGACCTTACCAACAATCTCGGCAACACGGATATTCAACTATGCTCACTTTCTCTCCGGGTTCGACTATGACATAGAGTACAGGCAAACTGCTCATCATTGCAATGCAGATTATCTCTCTCGATTCCCTATCGAAGTTGTACAAGAACATTCTGTAGATGACCTCTCGAAGTACCACATAAATCAACTGGAAACACTCAATATCAACAGTACCGTGGTGGCTAAGGAAACTCTCAACGATGCTGTTTTGGGTCCAGTCCTACAGGCCTTGAAATCAGGACAATCTGTTGAACAATACGGATTTCACGATAACGAGCTGTCCATTCAAGATGATTGTGTACTGAAGGGCTGGAGAGTCATGATACCTCAATCTCTCAGACCTCATGTGCTTCGAGAACTACACGTAGCTCATTTAGGAGGAATAAAAATGAAGGCTTTAGCTCGCAGTTTTTGCTGGTGGAAAAGTATAGACAAGGATATTGAAGATATGGTAACTGAATGTCGACAATGCATTGAAAAATGCAACAACCCGAGGAAAACTATCCATCCATGGGAACAACCTTCTAATCCATGGGAGAGGGTGCACATTGATTTCTTAGGACCAACAGATGGCCAACAGTACCTGATATTAGTGGATGCCTTTAGTAAGTGGGTGGATGTGATACAGACGAAAACAACTACAAGTACATGGACAGTCCAAGAATTACGGAAAATCTTCTCAACTTTTGGGTTTCCTCACATCCTAGTTTCAGATAATGGAAGACAGTTTGTTTCTCAAGAGTTCAAAAACTTCATGAATGAATGTGGGATTATTCACAGAACAACGGCACCATACCATCCAAACTCAAATGGCCAGGCTGAAAGGTACGTGCAGACTGTCAAGAAGGCGTTAAAATCCATGGAGGGAGAAAAGGGTACACTGCAAAATAAAATCCAAAGACTTCTAATGCAACTCAGGCAATCCCCGAATTCAACAGGTACATCAGCATATCACCTAATGTTTGGAAGGAGTGTACGAACAAACCTAGCAATAATTGTTCCAACATTAGAACCGAACAAATATCAGAAGAAGGGAGTCCAAGTCGGTATAAAAAGGAATTTCAAAGTTGGAGATAAAGTGCAAGCGCGGGAATATGTCAATGGTTCGTCCAAGTGGTATTCGGGCTATATAACTCAAAAGCAAGGAAATGTAATGTACGTAGTTCAGCTGGAAGATGGACGAATAATAAGAAGACATGTTGACCAGCTGATTCTTCGTAAAGTGCCGCAGCACAGTAAATAGAGGAGGAGGTGTTAGCATATGTTTTATTTACATTTTATTTCTAACATGTGTTCAAATTATTATTTTGTTTACTTATTGAATTGTTATGTTTACTTACAGATTGTGGTTTAATAAAAACTTAGCTTCTATTTTCTTATACAAAATGTGAACTTTTATTACTAAAATTAGTGGAATCAACAGTTACTTTACCACAACCAACAGTATATTTTTTAGTTAGTTATAAAAAGGTCTATTATTTTTGTTTGCTTTTTGCTCTTGTTATGGCATGTAGGAATCCCCCCTTCGAATTATGGAGGGTAGAGTGTTTTGTCGACGAAACTTTGAATTACTGCGAGTTTCAAATTGGCCTGCCCCCTGCTTGGACTTTAAATTACCGAGTGTACACATGGCAAACTTTGAAATACTAAGATATTCTCTACATACTGAGCTTTTATTTTTTTAATTACCGTATCAAAAGTTTTGATTTATAGAGTGTTTTAATTACAGTACCAAGAGTAGACCGTCTTATACACTATGATAAAGTCAATTCATGAACTGTTATCATTATAAGAAAAAGCAAAATTTGATTTAGTGCAATTATGGTACTAGATTTAGGATATTGAACATTTTGACTCTCGGACTAAATGCAATACATTTAAAAGCAAGAGGTTGATAAAACAATTTCAGGAAAATACAAAATAGAGAATAAACAAATAAAGTTTTCTAATACAGTTTTATTCAACAATAGTTTTCACAACCATAATCTATACAACTAACAATAATCTTACCATTTATCTCACTATGTTCGTTAAAGCTAAAAATTGTAGGTTTTTAGGTGGGAAAACAGGAGAAGATTTATTGACGGATCTTTCAGGATATTTTTATCGAGCTTTTCGGCGAGTCTTATTAATCATTTTAAATTAGGCCTATACAACAGTATTTTTTTGAGAAGCATCATATTGTGTGTTTTTTTACTTGTGGTTGTTGGCACTATGTAACTGTATACCGTATCGCATTTAAAGATTGTTATTGTTGGTGAGAATCGATTTGCTTATGCTTAGTTCTGTAAGGCCCTAAAAACTTGATAGCCTCCTAGATTGTAAATTGTAATAAAAGGTGATAGGTACCACTGTCAAGAAGACAAAACTTATTGTTTTTAAAGAAAATTTTGTAGTAAGAATCATGATTTAAATTATATCAACTGTAAGTGGTTTTAAGATCTTACAGATTTTTTACTTAGGCCTACAAAAAAATAAGCTATTAATTTCTACCAGGATATTTTTTTTGATACTACTAATAAAATATCTTATTTGTTTCATACCTGCATATTTAGTCAATAATGTAATATTTTATTTGGTAAAAATCTTATTGTTAAAAATTTGTAAAACATTGCCTTAAAAAACAAATAGGCTATAGAAAGAAAATAATATTTTCCTTGAGCGTAAGACAAAATCCTCTCCAACAATATTCATTTTGATAAAAACTTGGTGAGCAATGGATAATAGTTTCCGAAAATGCAACTTTTTATGACTAAAATTGAAAAGAAGGATTAGTCTCATAAATAGTTTGGCTTAAGATTTCAAAAATTAAATATCAACATAATGACATAAGTTTCAATGTAAAAAGGCTGAATCTACATGTTTGGAAGACAGACTTGTCTATATTTGTTTACAAATTCAGTTTCTTGATGTATGGACTCAACAGTTATATCTGCATCCAGTAAAAAGCAATTAGTCATGTACGGTACTTTCAGTTAAAGCTTTGATTAACAACTGTTACTAAACAAAACTAGACAAGAATTGCTTAACATAAAAATGTAGTTTCAATTTTAAGTTACAAATTTCATTTCTACATCTCTATCCGCTGTTGAATCGCTTAAAATACCTAAATAACTCATTTAGCTAACATTTATATTCAACAGTTTGAATAGTAACAGAATATGTTTCAGTAAGACACTGGGGGATTCGTCTGGATTACTGAAAGCTCTTGCATTTTTCTAGAGTTTGAAGCCAAAGTTACAGTCTAGCTATTAGGCTATGTTCACACCAATCTTCTGGTTCTGATATTTAGTTAAGGTTTGATAGTCTTTTTACAAAATACTTAGGTTGGCTTAATAAACAACTGTAATGTCGGTTTTTAATTTTTTTATGAGGAACTTTATTGCTTTGTTTGACTACAGAATGAGATTTAAAAGTATTAATGATTAGATAATTTAAGATTATAAAAAATGAATAAAACATAATGTAAATGAGGATTCAAAATTATTGACACAAAATTGACCTTTGTACAGTTGCTGTCGACAAGCTTTGTACAGGGACTCGCTGTAACAGTTTACTTTGCTGTGGCATGAATATAGTACTAATAAGAAATTACATAAACACAAATGAAATTTGATGCCTGCTTCACATTAAAGTATTGCTTTTTGGTAAGGTTCCTAAAATTATATACATCAATCTGATAGGTAATGTATCAATCAACACAAATTACATCCACCTTTTGTGTCAACCTAATTAACTGTAGTTTGCTTTTATTTAATAAGATGAATGAATTAATCACAGTGCTTGAAATGATATCTGGTTTCCATGATTGCTTAACCTGTTAGGAGTAAGTAAATCCTCCTCACCACGACTACAAATAGTCAAATTGAATCTTTAATTAATTGGACAAATTAAAAAACTAAAAATTCAAATATCAGAACCAGAAATCCAAAGTAATCAAAACAAGCAAAAATCAACAGTTTTTACAGAAGTGTGTTAATTGGCTAGTTTCTAGTATGTACATAGCTAAGTCTTTATAACAGTATTGTACATAACTATGGTAGCTACGTGTATAATACACGATGTACACGTGTTTAGTGCTGACTATTTAGTTGTTACTATTTCACTAATCATAAACTCGCTTGGATAAACAGGAGTAGCCAGTATACAGTACTATTTTAAATGTCTATGCATTTTTATTTAGTCGGAAGGCTGGTTATTACGCAAATTTTTCAGTTGTAAAGTGTAGTTTACACAATATTTTAAGAATCGTACGTTAATCTCATGTCACAAATCGGTTAGTAAATTTTCTTATGATTCTTCAATAGTTTTCCTTTGAAATAAGTTTTGAAAAATCTTGAAATGCAGGATATAAAATATTGCTAAAATAGTTGAAATAATGGTTTTTTTCTGATTAAGGACCAATTGCTTATAAACCTTGCCAAAAACACCTGGAAGGCTTTTTCTGTGTAAAAAAACTTTATACCGTACCAATGGTGTATTTAAAAGTGACATAGAATCTCATTAATCCATTCATCCGCGTCACTAATTAGATGACGAGAAATTATGATCACTTGTTTAAACTTCAAAATTCTTGAAACATTTGAGGTGCAAAACAATGCGAGTACATTCTAAATTCAAATGTTATTTAAAATAGTACTGCTCTACTGCCTCTTCCCATGGAGGTTATCAACTATATTCTCACAGCACTTGATTCACTCAACTTTTTATTGTTATTGCTAGGATCCTATAAAAATACCATTCACTTTGCAAAAGTGTTGGGTCAGTTTGAAATTGATCTTGTGGACAGCTAAAATTACTAAGGCCTATGATAATGCCGTTCTTAACATAGGTAAAAATACTTTGTGATGTTAAAATAAAACAATTTTTGTTTTGACTATGGGAGACTGCAATAACAGGTGAAAGTTTAAATCTGATATCGTACGTCCTGGAAGCCATTGGAAGCACCAATTTTCAACCAAACTGATAGTATGAAACCATAAATTTAATACCGAGTGATTCAAAATGAATAGCCTGGTTTTAACGCTTTATAACTTTTATACTATTAAACTTACCGCTTTAAAACACACATCAAATGAAAAAGCAACTCAAAGAGTTTATGACTTCCAAAGACACATTATTTAACAAAATCGATCCAGCAGAACTGTAGATTTAATTGTTCAAAGTTGAAAAGTTTTCTCCAACTTTTTTCACCACTAAAAATTTGAAGTTGCTTGACGTTTTTGGAAATAACTTTTAAATGGTGAGGAAATCGACCAAAGTGGAAGGGAATATTCCAAAAGAAAAGAGAATAAAATTTCCTACAATTTACTATTATGCATTGAAAATACTCAGTAAAGGCAGCCAAAAATTGCCAGAATGAAACAAAGAAAGAAAATCCCGGTTTTTTATGTCTTGTCTACATTGAAAACGGAAATTTTCACAAATTTTTATTTTGAGGCAATTTTTGGCTGCCTTTAATGAGTATTTTCAAGTAATTGATAATTGTAACTTGTAGAAAACTTAATTCTCTTTCGGAATATTTCCTTCCACTTTGGTCGATTTCCTCACCATTTAAAAGTTATTTCCAAAAACGTCAAGCAACTTCAAATTTTTAGTGGTGAAAAAAGTTGGAGATTACTTTTTAACTTTGAACAATTAAATCTACAGTTCGACTGGATCAATTTTGTTAAATAATGTGTCTTTGGAAGCCATAAACTCTTTGAGTTGTTTTTCATTTGTTGTGTGTTTTATAGCAGTAAGTTTAATAGTATAAAAGTTATAAAGCGTTAAGACCAGGCTATTCATTTTGAATCACCCGGTATTATCCTTCACTTTTTTAAAGATTTTGGTGATCAATTGTCAATTAAATCACATAAAATACTGCAGTTTTTATAACACAACTTTTAAATAATATAAAACACATAAAGTTAATTACTTTAACTACCAAGTAATGAATTTAATACATTGGTGCTTTTATGCCATCAAGTGTTTTAAAATAAATTCAAGGATATGGGTGCTGCGGCTGGCTTTAAAGAAGCGAAATCTGCAATTCAAGTTTTCCATCACTTTACTCTGGAGCTGAAACAATTTACCGGCAGTTATGATAAATGCTTGCTTCCAAATCGTTCAATGTGTGTGGTTCATTGGTGTATAATAGTTGCTTTACGTTTCCCACAAAACTGCTGGATTCGGAGTGAAGGGAGTCCAAGACCATATTGTTGAAAAGCCATGCATCCATTAAAAGTCGCTGTTTGGTGTGGCTGGGCTCATTGGCTCATATTTGTTCAAATATGATGTCGGACATAATCCGTAATGTTAGCCAGCTGCATCATCCATGCCCAAATTTATTTTTTATAACTTAAAGTCATACAAGTACCAATGAAAAAATACATTATCATGGTAATTGGCATAATTTTAATGTGTGTTATATAATTTAAAAGTGGTATATTTCTAAAAAAAACACCCTTTACAAAATAATATTGACAAAAAGTATTGCTGAGCTGACGGATTGTAAAGCATTAGTTCCTACAGTTTTGAAAATATTTCTCACTAGATAATTAAACTGATATGTTGTGTGTAATATCTTTGCTTATTCTAAAAAATATAATATATAGTATATATACTTCATTCAATAAAAAATCATTTCCTATTCTTGAATTAGTTCATCGTGTAAATTTTGTTTATAATAACATCTAAATTTTTTTCATGATTCTAGTCACTTAAACATTCAAAACTGATTCAATAATTTACTCACATAGACATTACAAAGCGGTTTGTTTCAATTTGAAATTTGATTAATTATTTTTCATTGAAACTAATTTTGGTGAACAATACGGTTTCTGTGTTGGCTATTAACAGCTAATGTGGATGACAAATGGGTTATTGTGTGTTTTCCCTAGGTATTAAAGAATCATTTTGTTCTCAGCGACTTACAAAAATTTGCCTCAATTAAAAGAGAAGATGTAGGTACAGTAGTTACATTATTAGAACATGTTTTACTCCTGAAAGAAAACAAATAATTACTGTTTTGGTTTGTTTGAATGTTAAGTTCATCAAAAGTAAATAAATATTTATTGTTTCACATTTTTACTTTCATTGGATTTCAAACTTTGAAATTTGACAACTTTTCATTTGCTAGTTATAAAATATGTTTTGTGAATCAAATCAATACTATTAACTCACATGACAATTGACAATATGGTGATATACCTAATCTTAAAACCGTCTTATTCTTATAACATAATATCAAGAGTGGGAAATTCTCAACTGAATGTACCAGTAATTAAAATCTATTTTGACATTGATTACCACAGAATTATTGCATTCTGGAAAGAAATGATAAAAGTAAATAAAAATCTTTTTTGAGAGATTTCTGAGCCTTCCAGAAAAATCTTAGATTGACAAGGGAAATAGAGAGAGTTGATAATGAAGATAGTTGTTGAAAGACTAAACCTTTATCTGTCATCATATCAAACTGATCACATGCACCCCTAATTGCGTTGAGGCACCGGCACCCAATGTTTCAATTTCAACAAGATCTCTGAAAATGTCGTGGCTCCTTTTATTTTTTTAACCTTGAAATTGTTTCTGCAAACATTAAATTTACCTCTTAAAATTAAAATTGTGCATTGAAAGGTCTACAGTCTTGTGTGTTTAGTACTCTCTTCACAAAAAGTGCTTGGGATTCAAGAGGTTGATATCTGTTCAAAGGACATTAATAAACATTATCTTGTGAATGTTATCAACTCAATTCATGTTTTTATGTTAACTGTTCTACTTTTTCTTTGATGAATCACATAAATTTCTATTCATCGAGTTACAACAAATGTCTCATTGATGTTACCCATCAACGAATGTTTTTAAGAGATTTTAAGAGGCAGCATTTTCCATGTGTCGTGTTTTCTGATGACATCAATTTTTAATTAACATTAATAATGTCAGTAGTAAACTGTGAATTGTCTGTTACACTCAAATACTATGTGTTTGTGTTTCTGCCTCTATTTTAGTTTAATTAATTAACCCCAATTGACACTTTCACCATTTGGTGGTAATATGAGTTATATTTCTTTATTGCTGGTATAGAAAACCATTCAGTTGACCTTGGTTTTCTATCTGTACTTAAGAATTGTCCTGTAATACCTCACAAATAGGCAAGCCTGGATGGCTTGCCTTTCTTATGCTAGAAGTCCAATACTTCCATCTTGAACGCTTTGCCAATCTGGTCATTGCAGTTCATCCCAATGTCATCGTCGCTTTCATCCTGAGATTCCTCGGGAAACTCATCCTGCTGAAAAATAGAAATTAGTTAGTACCATGTAAGTTATTTAATTTTGGCTATCACCACATGGTTAAGATTGGCATATTATCCTGGTTAAAAGTGATATTTTTATCTTTTTAATACGGTATGTACATCCTGTCAAAACTAATCTTAAAGGCTCTTGTCTACTTTTATCTTTCAATTAGAAAAATAATCCTGGCTGTTCTTCTGTGTGTTAATTTGTAAAACTTCTATTTGACCTCCTTTTAGCGAATTTCCCATACAGGGAATAAGCTATTACCGTAGTACTCATGGTAAGACCTGGACGCGGGACCGATTTTTTTTTTCGTTTTGAGGTCCCTAGAGGCCAAAAACACCATCCGTTCAAATTCATATATATATATATATTTATATATTTATATATATATATATATATATATGTGTCCGTCAGCACGATAACTCAAGCAAAAATGATCCGATTTTGATGAAATTTGGTACAAACGTGTAAACCTACGTTTATTCGAACGAGTTCGCGATCCAGCATGATCGGACCATGGTAACGGGTGTTTACGGGGGGTTTTATGGGGTAAAAATAGGTTTTTCCCATTTTTGACCCAAAAAACTTAAAATTTTGCAATTTATTTCCAAACCATTTTGTAGAGCTTAAAAAAACAAATAATTTAGTATATTGAAGCGTTATTATGCGCCTAACGGTTACGGAGAAAATTCCAAAAAATTGTAAATTTAAAATTCCCATGTTATTCTTATGGAGAATAAGTAAACTGTTGTAGTTTGCTTGTTTATGAACATATTTTGATCAAATTTGGAAAATAATTTTATTTCTTACTAACTATTAACATTTTACAAAAAAAAACAATTTTACCCTCCCTGATGCAGCAAACCTAAGTACTTGTTAAACTAATTCTATTTAAATCGGGAATAAATGTTATATTTTTAAGTAGACATTTCAGTGTAAATCCAATCAGTCAAATGGAAATTCGCTTAGTCTGCAGGTTTGCTGCGGCGGGGGTATTATATATTAGATTGTTTTTTGCACCTAACTTACAAAAAACAACACAATCTAAAAAAATGTTTTTCGGTTCATACAGTAGACTCCCTCTTTTCCGAACACCTTTTAACCGGACATTGGTTTAACCAGACCATACTCGTTAGAAGTGACATCTCTTTATCCGGATAATTTTTATCAGCACATAGGTTTAACCGGACTAGATCGGCAAGAAGTGGGCAGTACTGAAACGACAGTTCTCGTGGGAAAGATTTGAGACCAGTGATTACGTGTCTAAATACAATGCTCTCCTAATTTTAAGTCAAATACTGTATAGAGTATGCATTTAAACAGTCCGATTTAATGAGATTTTGGGGACGTCGGTTTAACCGAAAGCCCCGTTATCCGGACTGGCCTCGGTCCCGAGGAGTTCGGATTAGAGGGAGTCTACTGTATTAGATTTGTTACAGCATTTCTGCCAGTTTACCTCAAATATCAGTATTATCCATGACTTATTCATGAAACTCCAAGAGTTATTCAAACATATATCTCAGTTCAAATTCAAAGAATTTACAAGAGTTGATGAGAAGTGAAATTTCTGTCTTCTTTACAAAAGCTTGCTTTTATCACACTTTCAAGCGTGTTGGTGATCTTGAGTGAGTTATATCTTCACCTATTGCCTCATCAGTGCAATAAGCATATGTTGTTGTGAGGACTAAGCTGTAATTAAACTGAAAGCACCTACTACTTATTGTGTATAGTATTTGTGAATTCAGCACATAGTGGACTAGTTGACAACATATTACTGTAATATGCCAGATAACATACCAGTGTATTTCTGTGATAAGCATATCAAGTGAAAGATGGACAACTCTTGTGAGTTGTACCCTGTATATATATATTCCATTAGAGGGTAAGATTTTACCTGTGCATGTTGGATTTAATTTAATAATGACATCAAACTTAATAAACTGCAATTAGAGGCAAGTATCTTAAAACTATTTAGTTCTAGTAATATGTTTGTGATTCAGAAATATCTTGTGGTTTTGATTGGTGAATCGATATTTTATCACTGTTTTATCTCTAATCGTTTGGGTGGTTTTGTGCAGGAATGGTTGGTTTGTGGGTTTCACAAAGGATTATTAGGATTATCAACAAATGCAATACACTACTACAACAATACAGTACGAAGTTGATTTTATTTCAGTCAGTTAAATGCTCTTCTTTTACAGCAGTTTGTAGTATGACTCTCTACTTCTAAACAAATATTTAGTTTTATTTATTCGAGTAGTGTGTCAAAACCAAAACTACCGAGATTGAAAAATAGTCGTAATATATTTTCAATCATTTGAATAATCCCACAAACATTTCCACAAAGGCTATGTCTAATATATTATAAGAATTGTATTTACATGTTTATTTCACAGTTTTTAACATTCATTAAACCCCTAGAATCTAGGTAATTGGTTTCTTAAATTAGCAAGCAGTAAAATGTTAAATTGCTTTGTCCAATGAGCCCCAGAGTCAGACCTCCCAGTATTGAAACCCCCTGAAATCCTATCCTGACTACAGTCGATTCTGATAAGTGTTCATCTATTTAAAATAATTTTATGTTGCCAGTCAAAATTTATCCACTCATATAATAGTTAACGACATTATGAAAATAGACTTTCCTGTTCATAATTTAAAATATATTTCCCAGTTTACTGTATTTGATTACAAAATATATAATCATTTAAGTCCAAGTTGCAGGGGTTTTATTTGAAAAAAGTGTGAATTGGTGCTTCATAACCTTGCATGCAAGTGCTTGGTGCTTGTCATAACAAAAATGGTCTGTGATTTCAACATATATAATTTTTTGGTTTTAACATAATTTCCTTCTGTCCTTCTTCTTCGGTGTATTAAACACTTAATGCTTTTGGTAATTTTGTTAGGGTCAAAACCCTATTCTATAGTCAAATTATATTTAGAAAGCATTTTCTATATTAATAGGCAATCTTTATTAAAAGCTAGTTAAGTTTAAAGACAAAATTATTGTGAATCGGTCCAGTATCGATTCCTTTTAAGATTTACAATACATTTATAAGTAAAATTCTGTTTAATTATATAACGAGATTTCATTTAGAAAATAATTTATTTCCTTTGTTAATGACACCCAATAGGTTATAAATTATACTTAACTTTCAAGAAATTTACTGTAAAACTAGAATAGAATAAATTTGTTTGTAAACTCAATTACCATCACAAATAAAAATTATGTAGCGGGTAAATCTGTTTTTCTATACTTGAAATTCTTTGTATTTTACAAATTACTTGTGAATATGTATTACTATACAAACAAAAATTTATTTAAGCTTAAGGACACATTTAAAAAATAATAAATGTTTTCACTAATAGAATTTTAGTCACAGATCAAATTTACTTCAGTTGAAATCACAGCTGAAAATTACATATTCCTGATCATTTTGACCAAAGTATAATCGTGAGATCATCTCTGAAAATAAGTTGTATTCTATCTGTTTTTTACAAAAACTACATTATAATTTGTAGACCTTATTAGTTCTTACCGTTTTTAAATATAAAAATTGGAAAACCACAAATTGGAACATATACAATGATAGTTTCAAAACTTGTTCTTGACCTAATTTATGAGTCGATCCAACTTTGAAAAAAAAACCACACTGTTTCAGGCATTGGTCAAATGTTCAGGAAATTTAAAAATTACTATTGTTTCAAATATACATTCAAACTCACTGTAGGCAGCGATGAAATAATGAACGAACGAATGTGACAACAAATAATAATAGATAAGCGCAGGACTAAGCTTACATCTTCACACAGCTTACGACTAAAACACATGAGAAAATAAGCTGCAAATTGTATATACAATGATGTTGCAACATCGACAACAAAGTGGTCAAGCAGGAAAGGTTAGGTAGAAACTGTTACTCTTGGAATACTACATGGACCTCAAGTAAATTACAATAAACGGATCTTGGCAATTTTCTTTTTGATGGTCAATTTTAATTCCAAGATATTTTATTTCTTTGTAATTCCATTTGGTCAGTGAAACAAAAACATCAGTAGAAGGGAAATTTCATCAGTAAAAAACTTTTTGCTTTCAATTACCAAGTAAAAAACCTTTAAAAGATACAATTTTCGGTCAGGTCATAGACACTTTTATTTCATGTGTTTTAAAATTGCAAACTGTTGATTAACAATATGCCGATACATGTATTACTATGCATAACTAGTCAATTTCTTATAGAAAGGTGGAAACTATTTTATATATGCTATACCAAGAACACTAATTATAACCGGTTTGATACATTTTATAATATCCACAAAACTTGTTTTTGTTTTTACCCAAAAATATTATCCCACTAATGTGATATGGCAACTTTTGTAGACAAAACCAGTTTACATCACATAATATTCCATCTATATTGTCTTCTTTCAGCCGTAATGCATGTAACAGATTGGTTTTCTACCCCTCACCATGACGTTAAATACTATTTTACGCCCTTGAACAAAGCTCAATTGTCAGTCATCTTAAACAACAACTCTTGACAGGATTTAAGTATTCAGAGCTTGTGGATACTTTCATCATTGATGTCCCTCTTCTGGTATTTGTTTTAATAAAGTTATTTCTGTCTCCTTCACTTTCTCCTAAATTGAACATGGTGTGCTACAATATTTGCAAACTAGGCATGTATTAAGAAAAGTAATTAATTTCTTAACTATTTAAATACCTGTGATTCATTGATGTTGGTCGTCATCTGAAAATACTTTATTGTTGAATGTAAAATAAATGAATCAGGCATAAAAAGAAAACTAACAAACTTACCAATAATAAAATTTTTCTAAAACGCAAGACCGTCCTAAAATCAAAATCACCTTTTATTAACTTAAACATACAATATGAAATTAAGTAACCAGCCAAAGAAAACTGTTATTTGGGTATTATTGCCATTAGCATCACCAACTACGATTTGAATAAATGTGTAATTGAGAGTTAATTTTTTATAAAAAGATTGATGTCTTGAAAATTGTTTCATATTGTTCAGGGAAAATCTAAAAATATTATTATAAAAAAATATATAACAAGTAATTTTTTTAAATAATAATTGTATGAACAAGTAGCAGTCTTTTTCAATTTTAAAAAGTACTTCCTATTCATATATTCCAAAGCAATGCTATTATCAAACTAAAAATATAATACGCATCTTACATAAAACCATTTGCCGATAAAATATACAAACAATAAAATAATAACTGTTAGTAAGACAAGTTTAATCATTATGCAGGAACATACGCTTTCAAACAAGATCAGATTGAAACTTACGTCGACATCAGTCATCATTTCCTTAGTAGAAACGGTAGTGTCGATTCGGCGTATTGCACCTTGGTGGATGTCCACGTCAAACTTGAGGCACTGGAAGCGACGGAGTAGAAAGACAAGGAGGATCGGAATGACGCTGGCAATGATCATCAACACAGCGATCACCAGCACCCAGCCTGGGTAGGGTTTTTCCTCCGTTTGCCCCTGCAAGACAAACCAGTGATAGACATTAAAACTTGTTAGACTTTGGCTGATGATTAAAATTTACCTACAAGACAAACGAGTCATAGATTTTGGCCTGCAAGACAAACGAGTCGTATATTTTTGTTGGCAAGACAAAGATCATGGACTTCCAGTTAAACACGCGTGTTAAACTTTGGCCAGGGAGGGAGTCATTGATTTTTGCCTGTGAGACAAATTAGTCACATAAGTTAAATGTAAGAGAGATTGGTCATAAATCTGGATTGTAAAATAAACAAGCCAACGACTTTAGCCTGGAAAACAAACGAGTAATAGATTTTGGCCTGACAGACAAAGTCATAGATTTTGGCTTGTCAGACAAACGAGTCTTGGATTTTAGCTTTTGAGAAAAAAACACGTAAGAATAGACTTGGCCTGTCTGACAAACAAGTCAGACTTTGACGTGCAGGATTTGGACTGCTTACACTTAAAAGCAGTTCTCTCGTTGACTTTAAGCAAAATGCCACTGGCGTTGGAAAAAAAATTGATTTCAAATCTAGGATGAAAAACTATATGTGAAACAAACAATCCAGAATTCTTAAGTTACAACTCGTCAGGTATAGCATGACCGGTGGGGTGCGTTAGAGGGAGGGCAGTAGGCCCCGAGGCCACCGGTCATGCTATACCTAACGAGTTGTATAAGAATCCTTAACAGTTTTGAGTTTTATATTCTGTACATTCTCTTAAATGTTAATCAATGCTTATTAAACATTATGTTTCATACCAGTTCACCATTCCATGCGTGGTAGCTGGGTTTTTCAATTATCCGGAATGCAATTGAAGAAGCGAGGATACAAAACATGATTAGAGGCGCTAGAAACCTCCAAGTTACTTGCCAGTAGAGTCCCGGACGGTAACCAGTCATGTCTTCTATATCTTGAGTGAATCTGAGAACATAATTTGTCACTCATTAATTTGTCAAATAAATATTCTGTTGTGTCCGTGAGCTATTCAAAAATGTGCTCATTGAAATTTTGAGCTGTAAGAATCTTAACTTATATATTTTTAAGTTTCTGTCAACTTGGTGGAGCTTTCACCCAAAACTAAACCCTGAATTGAGGTATGTGTACTAATGTAACAGTATATTTGAAAAGACAAATCTTTTAAAATCAAAGCTAAAATTCTAGGTGCAGCCTTGGTTTCAGTAAACTAACATGTTTTGTCATTGAATGTCACTTTGAAAATACATCTTATAAGACATCAATAAGTAGTGTGTCAGCTAATAAAAATACCTTCATCACATTGGTTGGAATGTAAATGTTTGGTCTAAATCCTATCTCGCAGTTGTAATTAATTTATGCTCTTGTTGTTAACACCTACAGTATTTATAATATAGTGTAAACAGAAGTGTTACTTTTCGTGTCCATATATAAACATGACGGCCACCATTTCCAGTAGAGCTATCATGACGAGACCGATGGTCCCGGCGAAGGAGTCAAACATTTTCAGCCAATATTCACCAGCGCCCGTGCAGAATATCAGTCCCACAATGAAGCAGATTCCACAGACAAATGCTGAAACATGAAATTATGCATCACAAACAATACAACACATTGTCTCTCATTACAACAATTATGCTTTTGTTGCTTCCAGATAATAATTTACAACTAATTAAAACATATAACTATAGTCTTCATTAGAATATGTGTGCCTAAGTCAACTATTATTTAAAGAATAGAATAGATTCGTTGAATGTGAACAACATTCTAAACGTTGGTTAATCTCCTACGCCAAACATGTCCTTATTTGTAAATAGTGATGTTTACAGAGTATAACATCTTTTGCATGCCTTCTGACAGTAGTTCAGTTTTATTTCACTCCGAAAAATATAATGTTTTCTGTGTATTTTTTTTTTAGAAATTGTCTAAGTTGAGGTAGATGATGGTTTCCTTTTACCAATGCACTACATGAGGCAGTGCGCTGTTTGCAATTGGCAAATAATAAAGGATTTTTTAACAAACTTTTTATTTACAATTTTGACCGTATTTATTGTCTGTGCTTATAGAATCGTTTTGAAAGCATTTAAACTTAATAATCTAACAACAATATCAAATAACATCAAAATGTCAAAAATAGATTACCAAAAATATCTAATGCCTGGTATAAGCAATTCGAAAAAAAACTGATAAACTAAATTAATAATAAATGCTGCTTGAAAAAATACCATAAATCCCGTAGGTGTAGTCATGCAACAAATGTATCATCCATGAAAATGTAAAGCATTGCACAGTCAAAACTTGGAACCATGCAGAACGAAATACAATTTATCATGCAGGCGTGGTTAAAATCACCATGCACCTTATAGATTTAGTTAGTACCTGTTAAAACAGGTTTCCTAATTCTTTTGAATAGATCAATATCAAAAATAGTACACAGCATTCCCTCTAGAATTCCAATTTGTGAGCCAATTCCAAGAGAAAGCAGCATAAGGAAGAATATGACTGCCCAAAATGGGGCTCCAGGCAACTCAACGATGGCTTGAGTGAAGACTATGAAAGCTAGGCCGGTCCCTTCAGCTGCCTATAAGCACACCCCACATAAACTGTAGTAAAAGGACTTCAGAGCTAGGGGATGAATACTGTTTTGTGATCTATCTCACACTGAAACTGTAGGAATAAATCTAAATTTATTTTAAAAGCCAAAACTGTTAGTATTATTATATTTGTGTGTTTTATTTTCTCTTTTTGTGCTCCTGAGTGAGTTAAACTTTGTTTAAATTGTTTTTATGTCAATTGCTATAATTGGATTTAACTGTGTCCCTCCTTTAGACTGATAAGTATCCTTTATACAAATATTTCAAACAATGGATTTTTAAATGTTTAGCGAGGTGAAGGTCAAAAGATATAGATATAGAAATACAGTATTTTTGTGTTATGATCAGCTCATCGTTTGTTATTATGACATAGTCTTCTATACCAAGGAAAGTGTACCCTAGCCTATTGACTATAAACTTGTATTTTGAAACATCAACAATTAGTAGTAAATATTACTATTACTAAAATCAAGCAGAATACCATTATATAACATGTAGAATATGAACTTTATTGTTAAAATATCTATTAATTCTATCTCTTAAATAATCTGAATGGTAGTTACCTGATCGAGTTGTTCTGACAAACTGCATGTTTCTAAGTTGTGGGCGTGGAAAGTTTCATTTGATATTTTTGAAATGTAGAGCTCATACTTCTCTAATGATGCATTTTTTTCCAAAAGACCACTGATTTCAAGCTTCATCTTGTTGCTGTAAGAAAAAATGTCAGTTTAAAAGTGATTAGCTTTATTTTTAATTTAAGATTATAGGAAAATCCCTATAAGGATGCATATAAGACTGCATATGCACCTTCTGGTAGAACTTTGACTAATACACTTTGAGAAGCATATACAGTGAACTTTAAAAGGTAAAATAAAATAACATGTACTCTTCACCAATAAATGAATATTTAAATCAACATGATGAAAACGTTATACATCTTTCAATCTATCTAGATTAGATACAATATAGATTTAATCTTTTCATTGACTAACCTCTCAATACATCTATCTACGTTGGAGACAGCCTTGAATCCAAGGATGGTAAACACGACGATGCTAGCGTAGATTGCCGTGAACGCATTACATACTGACACCAGAATCACATCCCTCACGCAGTTGTTCTTAGGAGGATTGTAGCTCCCGAACGCTATGAGAGAGCCAAACGCGAGGCCGAAGGAGTAAAATACCTGAGTGGCTGCATCAAGCCATATCGTCGGCTGCAACAACTTTTCCACCTGGAAAAGACATGGAATTTCAGTTCATAAACTTAATGCCCAAGTAATGAGTTCAGTCAATGAACTTATTGGTTTTATTAGTATCTAAGTAAAAAACACAACGTTGAGGAAAACTTGTTGCTTGAATTCAAGTTAATTGCTGTAAGATTATTAGAGTTGTCTGAAACCTGATAGAAATTGCGTTTAAATACGGTATCTCTAATTAATTGTGACGTGAGGTTTCTCGTACATATCTGTTATATTCTCGGTGTTGACTGATCACTTCCAATGAATGCTTAACGTTCTCCTTGATTCAAATGAACACGTCTTTAATATTGCAACAAAGCTTTTAGTATGAAGAACTGAAAGCAATTGGTTGCCTTACCGATAATCTGTGTGAAGCAAATTGGAGTGAGGTCACTTTGGGCTACCAACTGGGCAGCCATCATGTGGTGGCTGGTGTAGTATCGCTGAAATGTGTCGTAGTACGCGGAAGTGGAGAGCGGAGAGAGGAACGCGGAGAGCGGACTCCACTGGTCTGTGGTAATTTAATGTTACTGTTTTCCTAGAAGCGGAGCGGAACACCATGTTAATCTCATTTCCGCTCTCTGCGTTCTTTCTCCGCTTCTGCACCTAGGAAAACCCGGCTTTAGGGTAAGAATTATTAAATTCTAAGGCCTTTTGCAAAATAAAAATTTGAGACGAATTTTTGACACCTCAAATATTTGACCTGACAAATGTTCAAATGTGTGACCTTGCTCCACTAATAGGAGGAGTAGTGTCCACAAAAAAGGATTCACGTATTATAGATATAGATTAATCCTGTGGCTCAATGGGTATTTACACAAATAAAACAACATCACTGAAAATAAACAGTAAGGAAAAGCGTTAGATCGTTATATTTTTATATTAATATTTTACCTTCGGAGTGTACATGTGTTTGATCCCTTCCCCAGCTCCTTTCAGCGTTATTCCACGAATGAAGAAAATTGTGAGCACCATATACGGGAACATCGAGGTGAAGTAAACCACCTGAAGAACAAACCGTAAAAAGTTATATTATTGAGATTTTAAAAATAAATATTCAGATGTGTGAAAATGTAGAGAAGCTTCATTTGTGATACATAGTGACTTCTCCTTTCATAAATAACTATATTCAAATTGGAAATGTACAGTAATACAGTATTGTTGAGTGTCAAAGAGGAGAAATAAAACTTTTAATGGGAGTCATAAAAAATCTATATATTTAATTCCGTAAGCAATCCGGTCCCCACGAAATGTCTCTAGCTACGTAAAAGGTAGCTTGGCTGTTAAGGATTCATTTTAAAGCTCAAGGACCAAGGACGGTAGGAAAAATGTCATAAGTGTCAAAGAGTACCCCTGCTCTAACCCACAGGCCGTCAAAATCTAGCCATTTTCTAATGGAGGTTATGCTACAGTGTTTCTATAAGCTGTTTTAAATATACCAGGTGATGTAAACATTGCGTATTTGTTTGTTTTTTGATTTTAGTGTTCTGTTTTTAGGTTAGAATGGTAATGCAGAGTTCAAATTTATCGTGTTTTAGGGGATGGCAGTCACTACGAAGGAGAGTATTTATAAGGAACTGTGCACAGCATGGGGAATGGTTAAGGCCAAATTACAATGGAGGTGAAGGGCAGCAATTGCTGCTATGGGCCAGTGTTATCTAATTCCGTACACTTTAGGATATATAGTTTTTTGAGAAGAGATTTAACTTTCTCGTGCCAACCAAACAACACAAAACAGTGTGCTTTTATTATGCACTTAATCCGTGTACGCTTGGAAATAGGTTGGCAGCACTTAAAGATATTACGATCACAATCATGCTGGTGCAGTGTTTCCCATTTCGTTCAATGTTTGGATTTAACCTAGTCTAAAAACATGTTTTACCATGTTTGAGAGACTAATTTTTATATTATTTACTGTAACTGTAGGAAAAATATAATGTGTAACACGAGTGCAAACTGCCTTTGCTGCACTCCAGAAACTTTCCATACTCCCCTACGCCTACGGCTCGTCCGTAAACTTTTCTCTCGTTTGCAGCAAAGTACCACTTCACCCACTAGTTACACAAACAACTATAGTCCCATTGAGCTACTGATAGTGTGCTCTGCTGTAAAATACAGTTTTTTTTACACATCCAATCTTTTACCATGCAAAACTGATAAGGCAATTTATGGTAAACTATAGCATCTGTTACCGTATTCCCCTAACAACTATTATTGTACAATTTTAAAAGTAACACAACTTACAAGTACACAAAATACTCATTCAATTATATTATTTTTTAGTCAAGAATTCTCTATAGTGGGTTCACATAGATAGAATTCTGTTGATGGCAGAAGCTATTAACAATACTAGAGTGAATATTCTAATTAGTAAGGTCCCCCTTACCTTCCCAGAACTCTGTATTCCCTTCATAACAATGAAGAAGACCATTGTCCAGGCAAGTAACAGACATAACACTATCCACCATTTTAGCCCCCCTGTCTCATCCATGGTAGGGGCGATGTCGAGGGTCGTCCTGTACCAGAAGTAGGCTGTCTCAGAGCTCCTCTCGCACTCCGGGACTGTTGTGTTGTTGGGAAGTTTTGGACAGTACGACCATGGCAACGGACTCTGCAAGTGTTATTTATTTGTTTGTTTTGTCAAATTTAAATAATTCACAGTGATTATACCGTACGGTACCAAAAGTGTTATAATAGCTTTACATATTATAGCCTGTGGATTGTTAATTGTACTATTAGTTTCGCAAGAACTGTACTTTTCTTACCCAAGAAAAGAGTTCCAAGCAGTTGACAGCAGAAAAAAGTTCACAACTCACAACACAATTAATTTGATTTTTCACCCCTATACGGGCTTCTTCAGAGGTTGTAGAATTGTACTATTACAGTCAAGAATAACAGTCTTTACATTAACAGTCTTTACCTCCTAGATCCTACTGATATTTAATTAGTGGTCAATACGATATATTTTAAGTGACTAAACCCATAGTCAGTTAAGGTTTATAACTAAAATGAAGTCCTCCTCAATCAAAACTTGCTAAATGTAGTTGGTTATTCATGCAAGAAAGATTTATTCTTTGACAAGACTCATTGATTGCACTGGAATAATTTTTTTACATATATAGGTGTTTTGGGTAACTTGTAACAAAAGGACTGATGGATGCCTTAATATTTAAAAATGTTCAGGCGGTTCTTTACAATATTTACCTATGACAGTTTTTTTTTTTTAACTAGCCTTTTCAAATCAGTTCTTAGAATTGAAAATATTCACTTAACATTGTTGTTTAATTACTTAACAACACTGTTTTGTTACTTTACAGTACATGTTTGGACCAATGTGGTTCAAGGATTGAGAGAAAAGAAGTAAAATTGTTATACTTCAAAGTCAACTTATCTATCAGCTGTTAAGACCAATTAAATTGATTAATCAATGAGTGAGTTTTTGGGACAATATGCCGTTAGCCTTACGCAATCTTTGTGTAAACTACTATTGTGAGGCGATTATAAAAGAAATGGATTAACTTTGAAAAAATACACATTCTACATTAAATTACCAAAAAATCTATATAAATATTGGTTAAAAATTGCTTTCTTGCTGTCCATCAATTGATTATCAGTGGTGGTGTGGCAATTGTAAAAATTACGTACTTTACATTTTCTGAAATGTTTTCTCAAGCTTAATAATCGAGTAACAAAATGTGTGGCTTCTATTTAATGAGGAAATTATTTTCTTAATAACCACACTACTCCTTGTAATGCACAATAGAAAGCAATTTAGATGTTACCTAGAATAAATACATCACTACGTTCATCAAAGTAGGAGCAAAATAAGTTTTGGTAGTAAGAAAAAGGGTACTGCCAATACAAGATCTTTAAAAATGCATTCTATGTTTAGTGAATACATAAAACACTACATGTAAAACCAAGCATGTATACATTTAAAAGAGAGAGTTTGTTATGCTTACACAAATGGGACCTCTTGATGTATTATACATCTCTTTTGGCAACCAACATCAAACAGTATGCATAATACATGAATCATGAATTTTACTTTTCTTCATAATTATATTGACCTGTCAAGGACCTATGATGTTAACCTTGAATTCCATTTATGAAATGGCAAAAATAAGTCTGATTGAAAATCTAAACATCTAAAACTCACCTGAAAAGAGTTGAAAAAGTAGTAGAAACACCAAGTAATGATAACATTGTAGTACAAGGCAACAAAGAAGGTGACAGTACATGAGGCGATTCCGATGCCTCCGAGCCACGGATGGATCGTGTTCCACACTCCGAGTGACCCGAGGCGCATCTTCTGACCAATGCCGAGCTCAATCAGGAACAATGGAATGCCTTCCAGAATTAGCATGATGAAGAACGGAATCAAGAAGGCACCTGAAACACCATTAAACATCAGTTGTTAATAGTTGCAGAATTAATAGTTAATATTTCATGACGCATAAAATGTTGTAGCTCCAAGATGACATGAGTGTTGTAATGTGAATTATGGGAGTAGCTTAATTTGTTAGAGGTTATGAACGCAAATGGCTTTTTCAACGTGTTTATGTAAGGGAATTGTTAAAACACTTGTCGTCTAGTCGATCTGATGTTAGTTTATTTTATTACCTAGTGACAAATGACATCTGGGTTCAGAACTGTACAATTTTTGGGACAGTCTCTTTTGTGATCGAACCAGCAACCTTCGGATTCGGAGGCGAGCACTCTAAACATTAGCCACAATATTTGTTGTTCTTGTGATAGTAATTTTATCACAGATATTTATTTTTACTGTAGTGTTGACAAATAAGGTGATGTGGCATTTTAGTTAGTTGATAAGATATAGTTAATAAGGAGTAGGATTCCTACACTTGTAGGTTTTAAAACCTATTATCATGTGTGTAACTTATATATTACAGTTAAATAACATTTAATTTCATTTACATGTAGGTAAAAAGCTGGGGGTAAGTGGACGGTGCTCTAAACTTACCCTTCTCTGCTATGCTGACTCAATTGTGTGAATATCAACTAAATCTTAGCACACAGCATGTTTATAGCTTGCAAGTTTCCCAAATTTGATTTTTAAGTGAAAATACTGCTTATAAAACTTGATTCCAAAACCTCAGTACCTAATATGTGTATTGGCAAGGTCAACTAAAACGTATTTAAAAAGTAAAAAAAGTAGGTATGAGTTATTAACATTGTTTCTTAATATTATAATTGTTGTACCTGTTAATTACTTGGTTTTCTTCAAAATTTGATAACATAAAATAATATAGAAGGGAAAGTTAGTATTTAAACACAAAAAAACATCTTTCATTGACAATTACAAAGTAGATTCCATCAAAGGATAAGTTACATCTTTCAATAGAGTGATTCTCTTTGGAAAAGCTTCTTCTTTCAGATCTTTCAGAAGTTTGTTATTTGTATTTTATTTATCTTGTTCTTAATTTTTCACCAGGGGAACATAACACTTTCTAAAAGAACATATAATTGGCTCGAAAGAATTAAGCCAAAATTTACCCAAAAACTTACAATAGTATGTTACTCAACCTTGGAAAAGGGTCAGGGAGTTTGTACATTTAACATTCACAAAATATATATGCTCACTGTGTATTTTTGTATAGGTAAGGTACTGATTCATATTTTAGGTTTAACTTAAATGTTTGTTTAGTAGAATTGAACAATTAAGTTAACAATATGCATTCAAATATAAAGTTGATGCCAGTTTCAAGTTTTAATATCTTATTTATACTTAAATTGAGCCAACAATAGAGTTTGCTGCAGAAAAATATAAGTTTACTCTTATTTATACCAACTTTGAACCATGTCAGACTTAAAGTACCTATAGAGACAACACTGGGGAATACAACAGGACTTATTATGTCCACATCAACTAGAAAGAATGACTTTCTTCTATTTAAAGCTTAAAGAGAAAGCAGAGATTCAGAATCATACAAAATGCGAGGATCATTCATGAACGTCCTTTTTAAAAGCCTGGCTATGGTCCACATGGTAATTCAACTTCAGTATCGTAGTCAAGTAACGTTAAGTATTAATCGTGCATATAAGTTAAGAATATAAAGTTTTTGAGTCTTAATTGGCTTTCACTGTGTCTATTTTAGCTTTTGGTACACACTTATTCCTACATCACTCATTATTAATGTCTATAAAAACAGAGAGGGGAACAACAAAAGATTGTAGAACAAAAGAACAACTGACCTACACTCATACAATTAACCTTCATTTGAGGGAGAGAGTAAACCACCAGTTTATTAAATCTGGCTAGTAGCCTTGGAGTATGCTGCTTGTAAAAAACTGCAAAATGATCATATAGTTCACTTGTATCATTTAAGTGGGTATACCTTAATTTGATGGTTTGGTTAATCATCTGAATTGTGATTGTGTTTATACTGAATTGGTTATTGTAATTGCACGTAGAAAAAGTAGCATGGTGATTTTTTAACTTGAGAAAAAATATTTTACACCATTGGTTACAATAATTTTAAAAATTATGTTGATAACCAAGAATGTGTACAAATGGATCAGATTTGTTGGAAATCATTTACATGATATGATTGACATTGTATGAAGAATATGCCATCGTGAAAGAAGAGGTATTTCACTACAAGCAAACTAATATAGGCAAATATCTTATCTGATCAAAATGTTACCAGAAATTATGCATAAATATAAGAAAATGTAGGAAGATTTTAAAATCGTTACTGTTGCACTATCAAAAAGCAATTTTTGTTCATCACAAAATGGATACAAGTGATAGTTAAGTCAAATTTGTAGAAACAAGTAAGTTGATTATACAGGGTGTTGAAAATGTCTGGAACCAACATTATATCTGATGAGTGGTTAAAGAAAAACAACTGATATTTTGTATACGGATATACTATGGTTTTACCTATCTTTTGGTGCCTTATGAAATTTTTTACCACTTATAGGGAACGTCCCGTAGAGGATGCAGTAAAAAGTTTTAATGGAAGCCTATGGTAAATGATACATCATTTTAAAGGCCAATTTTTTCTGAGTAAGGAGCCACAAGTTTCATCTCAAAAGGACCACCCTAGCAAAAATGGCGACTGTTTGAAATTTAAAAACCACTTATAGGGAACGTCCTGTGGAGGATGCAGTAAAAAGTTTTAATGGAAGCCTATGGTAAATGATACATCATTTTAAAGGCCATTTTTTTCTGAGTAAGGAGCCACAAGTTTCATCTCAAAAGGACCACCCTAGCAAAAATGGCGACTGTTTGAAGTTTAAAATTCAATTATTTTCAAAAACTTCAAACAGTCACCATTTTCGCTAGGGTGGTCCTTTTGAGATGAAACTTGTGGCTCCTTACTCAGAAAAAAATGGCCTTTTAAATGATGTATCATTTACCATAGGATTCCATTAAAACTTTTTACTGCATCCTCCACAGGACGTTCCCTATAAGTGGTAAAGAATGTCATAAGGCCCCAAAGGATAGGTGAAACCATAGTATATCCGTACACAAAATATCAGTTGTATTTCTTTAACCACTCACCAGATATAATGCTGGTTCCAGACATTTTCAACACCCTGTATAATGACAATCTTTCCTAGAGTGAACAACATTACTTGGTCGATTGTGAAAGCTGAGAGATGTTTGCATATTTGTGGACTTTCTGCCGGTTGAGTCCCGGACAATTGTTGTAAACATTTACTTAAGCCAATTCAAAATCATTTTTCATGATCTTGATTCAAACTGCTTTTATCCCCCCCCCATTCTACCCATTCTCATGGTAGAATTCCCCATTCATGGTACCCATTCTACCATGGTACCGGTACTCAGTTTCTCACTATGTTAGCAAAAACTTTAGGAGACCTATATACCCGATCCCAGCTCTGCAGTGTTAAATATAATTAAATTAAATTTACCTATTATTTTGATTATAAGTTTGAGTGTGGGTTGTGTAGATTTCCTACTAAGACCAGCTGATTTTTAAATCAGCATTATTAAAATCCGGTTTTAAAACTATGCTAGACATTTAAAGGAATTATTTGGCTGTGGTACAGAGAATAGACCAATGCTGTTGTCTATTTCAGTAAAACATTTTATTTAATACACTATCACACTATGCTAGTTTTGGGTAGACAAATCCGTTTTGGATTCCCCTAATCCATGGAGTGTCAAGGTGATTTTTAATTTTTTATGGTAATTGTTTTCATAAAATAATAGATAAATTGCATTTTCACAAAAAAAAAGCTCTCACACAATTTTATTAAAATCTAGTATGTTATGGTCCTTTTAGCTCTAAACAAACCCGTACAGCCCCAATGCAATAAATAGTACATTTCAAAATGATTTTACCAATAAAATACCATATAGTCACTCCCATCCCTTACCCATTATAAGGGTTGTTAAAAAGCTAATGGGAGAAAGTATGTGTCAGTTTGCTGATACCGTTTTTATTGTTGGAAACTGGGTACAGCTGCTCTTGATCATGGGCATTTGATGAATTGTTGTTGGTCTTTGTCAGTTAGTGTACACAAAAACACAAGCACACACACACACTTCCTTCATATTCAGGTAAAAGTACACATCATTGAGATACTGTCTCAATGTAATAATAGAGATCAAATTTTTTTAATTCATATTACCGGCTTATTACATTATAAGTGTACATATTTCCAACCAAGTTTAGAAATTACTAATTGGTTGCAAAACTGGTTGAAAAGCATAAGAAATATCATATGACATAGTAAACATGGGTGTTATCACAATCACGTGACTGGCTAAGGGTTGTTAATGTGGGGTTAAAGATAGCAAGGGAGAGTTGGAACGGCCTTGGGGGAGGTCATGCAGTCTGAGGAACCCCCCTAAAGCCCCTCCAAACCCTTCCCCTTCCAAGGGGGTTTATATTGATCCACCTCAACCAACCCCCAACTCGTACCAGCTATCCCATCTCTACAAATGTTTAAGCCCAACAAGCGATTATGGGTGCATCACCCCCTTAATTTCCACCTGCTCTCTCCTACAGGATTCTAAAATTATCTAGGTCATGATAAAAAGTGCTGACTATGTATAAAACTGTATCATTCATACTCTCAACAGTAGGTGTGTTCATTGAATATATCAATGACTTCTTTCTTGTGTAAAGTTTTTGTAGATTTAATAACAAATGTTAGTTTTTAACATATTAAAATAATGAGTTTGGGATGTTTGATAGAACTTCTAGTATTTTTCTGTAATAAAATCTTTCACTGAAAATTTCAATTAGCTCAAAGCAAAACAGCGTTTCTACTCATTCTTACTCTTACAGCTTTGTTAACACTGTAAGGAGGGTAAAAAATGTTTACCATAGGTTTCATACGTATCAAATACAATTTTTAAATATAGTTTCCATTAAGAATGTTTTTACCATAAATTACCAGACTTTACAAACGAATATGTGCAGGACTTAAACGAGATAATACTGAATGCCAGTCAGCCAGTGGCTGGTGCTAACATTAATGTGATTGAATCAAATGTCAACAGCAACATTTATTTTTCTAAAATGTATAACATTGCTGGATTGATCCGCACATACTTCAGCATTGTAATCCGCTTACGAGGTGCCTGCTGCACTTTGCCGATAACAACTTGTAAGTGGTAAACTGAACAAATGTTGTGCCATATAGGAAAACAGAAGAAGAGAGAGAAAATTAACAGATCGCTCATAAAATTTGTTCTGTGATTTTTTATAATATAGGCTAGACTATAATTTTGATTAACTGGTTGACTTTAGCACATCACTTTTTTTATTCTTTAACCTATACTATATTTGTATCTAGGTTATTACTCACTTAGACGAGTCTTTTAAAAATTCTACCCTTATTGTTGAGCCCTATCGGCTCTCAAAACTCCCTTGTTATAGTCTGTATGATGGAACCTGTCACCTGAACCTCTGTCTACCTGAGGACTGGCCAATGGTTTAAGTCCGAGGCCAGTCCCATGTAGACGGAGAGGGTTAGAAGGCAGGTTTTAAAATACAGACTTTAATCTAATTTGTATGTAAAATTGTTGGGATTGCAAATTATTTTATGTGCAAAATATTTTTATTTTTCCAAAAATCAAATATTAAATATCTTCTACATACGTGTTATTAATTTTATGGAGAGTGAATAAAAATATGTCTAATAACACTTAAAAACATGTATTTACACGTATACTAGCTGTTTTAAGCAAAATGGTAAGTTAAATATAAATAAAACATGGTGGATGGTAATGTGATAGATTTCGATTGGACACTCCTCCAATCATCGAAGCGATAGGCGAATGGCTACAATAATAAGGTAAATATTACACAATTTTCAGCTGTCAATTTGATTATATGGCTTTTAGCTCTCCAATGCAGAGAATGTTTTCCTCACCTGTGTCTTTTTCCAGATAGCTCGACCAACAGCTGTATGTCGGCTTTGAATTACACTGCACCACCACATTAACACCTTATTTTGTGGGATTTGAAAAATAGCCTCCACTCAGGAAGTCTTTTACAACTAGGCCAGCCTCTTTCCTTCTTCCAGGATAGAAAGTAGTGAAGATGAGAGAATAGTAAATTCTAAACATTTATCTAAAGCAGTTGTTTTACTCACCTCCACCATTCTGCTGACAGAGGTAAGGGAACCTCCATATGTTCCCGAGGCCCACGGAGTAGCCTATGATGGACAGCATGAACTGCATCTTGTTGTCCCAGGCGGCACGCGGGGGAGCGTCCGCCGGCTCAGCTGGGGTCAGCACGATCTGGACACCACCATTGCCAGAAGCCAGCGGTGCCAACTCGTGTCCCACCCATCGCTCTGTCTTCGTCTCCATGGTGAGGCAGGTGCGCAGTGCTCGGTGAGGCTGCGTACTAACTGCGCCGGTCGGACATACTAGACTACGTGCTACGTATTTGTCAGGGATCACAGACAGTTGGGCAGCAATTTGGGCCTGTAACAGATTTTGTTTGAAATTAACTTTATGGGGTATAAAATTCTTTGTATGGTGCGTTTGTTGGTTGTAAGATTTTTAAAAGTGTACAAATTTATGGGGACGTTAAACATTAGGTCTCCAGTTTTTAAAATTACAATGTTGTGACAATCCAGTTTTTAAGAACAATTTGCCTTGCGTGGCCAAATTATGGAAATTTGAATTAGCCTACACAATAAAATTCGTATTCTGAAAAATCTTAATGAATGTCGATGTACAAGTCACCTAACGTATATTATATTTCCAAGGAAAACATACTTGGGAAATTCCGTTGAGGTACTTGTAAATCTAAGTAAAATCCTACCACTCTAAATAACGTTATATAATTTTATTTTTACAAAATAAATAAATAATTTTATTTGTATAAGGGCAGTTCTTTTACGAACAACATTTTGAAAACAAGCCAATACATTAGGGTTGTTAAGATTCCGCCGAAAGGACTATTATTAGTTTAGTTCGCGGAGAAGCTTTTGTATGGGCCAAATTAGTTAAGTTTGTCACTCCCTTTACCATCATTCAGTCATGTTCAATTTATTGCAACATGACAACGCGTTTCGCCCTCAATTTTCCAACAAAATTTATAATTTTACGTTAAAAGTTCGAATTATTTCATCTCCGATTATGTGGTATATCAATGTGTTTAAATAAAATTTTGTGTGCCATAATTTCGTCATGTGATCTTTCCAGCTTAATATGGAACTATGAGTTTTTTTAAATTTAGATTGTATTAGAGCAAATTTTTGTAGGTTGAGAATGTAATTACACATTCATAAACACTCAAAAACAAATCGTTCAAATAACTTCATCTATTAAAGACTCTTCATAGATTCGTTTCCTCTGTGGAAGAGCAATGAAAATGTAATTTTAATAGATGGAAACACGGTATCCATTAATCCATCAATAACAATTTAAGTATTTTATATTCTTTCAGATATCATTGTGTGCAGTAAATTTAAGTCTACAAACGTTGAACCATCGTTGTTGTGATTTTCATAATTAACGTTACAAGTCGGTCATGAAATGTTTACCGACGAAACCAATATTCCATTATTTTCTTTAAATAAATTGTTAATGTCGGTAATTTTAGATTGTTTAAAGGATTATTGCGAGCATTTTCCTTCACATATAGGCTAGATAAAATTTCTCATTTTGCTGCTTTAAAAATGTCAATTATGATAACTATTAAAATAACGTCTTTGTCCGATTTGTGTAATAATTTGTAATACGAGGTTCCATACCCATTGAGGTGGGTCAAACTTAAACAGCTCCACCTAAGATTGTTTAATAATCTTTTCAATTACATTATTTGTATTGATTTCATTCATCAGAATTGATTGTAAGACTTCTCAAATAAAAATACAACATATAGTAGGCAAATTATGAAATACTTTCAGTAACAAAACACGGAAGTGATTTACAATTTAATCTCATCTCCAGAGGAATCATTAGAAGTTTTTCTTCCAAAGTCGTATTTTTCAAACAACTTCAGTAATACGATCGGTTATTAAAAACTTACAACTAAGTAGCAGAGAGCAGAGAAAAAGAACTTTCAACTTTTAAATCGCTTGTTCGTCTTCTATTTGAAATAAACGCTGTTTGACAACAAATTTAGTGCCTATTTTTTATAAAAATCAATAATTTTTGCATTTTGTACTTGACAAAATATTCGTGGTCCAGGCACGCCAATTATGTATAGCTTATTTTGCATCTAAAATAAATTTATTTATTTTGTTGGAAAATTTTACTTTAAAAATATTTTAGAATTTTTATTGAAAATATATCAAATAGGCTATAAATATAAATGCTTGAACATTTTTCAGTTTTAATGTTTTAATTTTTGCAAACGCTCTAGTATTTTAACTACAGTATACTATAATTATATAATATTATGAAACAATTTTATCCTTGTCAAAAACCTTGGTAATTTTAAATACAGACTTCAACTTTGTAATTTGTTGAACAAAGCTAAAGTTACTATTCCTTGCGGTTTCTCCTAGTTTTGAAAAAAGAATGTATACGTTTAGATCTTAACTATTAAACTATAGCTGTTTCATACACCTTAAAACTATTAAGACCAAATAAAACTACTGATTTCTTAACTGTTATTTGTCATAATTATTGAAATACGCGCACACTGTAGTACGGTATATGACATAAAGATTGACAAGTCTATATATTAATAGGCAATCATGTTTCTTTAAAACCTTTTTATCAGCTCATGTGCATTGCAGGAAAAATCTACGCATACTGTTGGAAATATATTTTCCTGTAGATGCACAGAACCCCTTTATAAATTAAAATATACAAAAAATAAGCAGAAAAATTAATTATATTTTTTTTTTATTTAACATTGGCCTTATGTGTTGCCATGCTGGTGACGAAATAATATCGAAATAAAAACAGAAAATCAAAACAAATTGAAGAAATTCTAATCACATGTTTTATTTACAGCGTGAAATGAAAATAGATAAGTTCGTACATCAAATTAAAATATACAAAAAATAAGCAGAAAAATTAATTATTTTTTTTTTAAATTTAACATTGGCCTTATGTGTTGCCATGCTGGTGACGAAATAATATCGAAATAAAAACAGAAAATCAAAACAAATTGAAGAAATTCTAATCACATGTTTTATTTACAGCGTGAAATGAAAATAGATAAGTTCGTACATCATATATTTTTGGTCGAGATTCGACCACTGGACGACCTTAGTGTTTATAAACATTCGGAAAGAAAATACCAAAAGTGTTCAAACCTTTATTATTTACACATATACACATTTGAAAATACAAAAACAAAAGCAAGTGAAGCATTCTAAGGAACAATGAACTATTCTGTTGCCATTATTTTCATTGTTAACTTGTTTATTTAATCACTGTGATTGTTGCTTTTTAACGAGTCCTTTTGTGATATTGTTTCATTGTCAAAAATGTGAATTATGTCAACTTACTGTGTGCAAAAGAGGGAAAGATTTGTCTACTTCGGCCTCAATAACGTTTAACTGGCAGGTAATTAATAGGTACATACGTGATAAGGTTGAACTTGATTTAAGTGTAAACATGTTTTTAATGTACAATTTTTAACGTAAAGTGATTTTGGTACAAGGTTTGTCAACAGAAAATACCCCTGTAACTTGCTTGCGAGTTTCTAGGGGAAAGTTGGACGTAATATATTTTTTTAATAAACAAAAACGCATCTTACGATGTTGCCCGGAAGTTAAAAACGAGGTTTTGGAGGGGAGTTTTGTTTTATAAGAATAATGTAAAGCTTCATTAATGTTTATGTCAGCAGATTGACTACTTCAAGGTGCAAAACCTATTTTTGATCGTAAGCGCTGTTTTAACTCTTCTTTATGAGTAGGCCAGTAGGCCTATTTAAAACAATTACAGTACCACACCATGAATAAGTGACTCGAATGGGGTATTTTGAAAGTCCAATCACATAAAAAGGGTTTCATACATCAATACAACCCGTCCTAAATGTCATCTGTTTCAAATTTGTGTTGGTTTCAGGGCTGACAAAATGTAACCAAGACTAATTTTGAATAGAAAACAGTACGGTATTTATTTATTATCGCACATATAAATGTATACTAGGTTCCTTGGCACGTACGTGATTGATTTTTTGAGACATCAAAATGGGAACGCCTTAGTTTTCCATGGAGATAGACCACGAGTGTATATATCGCCCCATGTCTTATAGAAAAGTTGTTGATGTACGTTTTGGCGCCATTGTTCTTTTTCGTAGTTTGGTTCATTAATTTCCCGCACATATATTTATCGAATCAATGTTGTAACACCGTTCAATTGGATCCTAAACGGTTTGTAGATTTCAGTTATTTATCTGCGACTGCTACAATTCATTGTCACCTCCCTTCGTCTGAAAAATGGGACAAATACAACTTTGGCGCTGTGCGGCTTTTGCTACACATTTCTCGCATTAATAATTAACGATTAAATACAAGATCTCTTAATAAATTACATAAAAACTTTGACAATTTGTAGAGGTCCAACTTACAGATGGATTTGGTGACAAAATATATCAAATAATAATACCTCAAGATTTTCATCCTATAACTAAAATCGTCCAGATTATAATTAAGGAGATGTTAGTTATTGGTACAGTATTTCTATGATGAAAAATGTAATCGACGTCTTTGTTAAATACAAATACATGCATTATAAATACTTTAGAACGTAATATGATATATTTAATGCTACCAACATTTAAAATATCTTATGCATTTCGTTATTTTATACTCGGTTTCATATCTTTGTCAATATCTAACAAGGTTTTAAACTAAAAACTTTCGCTATTACGAGTAGAGGTTACAAAAAAAAAAAAATATTTCCATACACATAATAAAGGTTAGCAAACATTTACCATTTACGAAAACAAGGAGTAATAACAATGCAATATAATGTATAACCGCAAAATGCACAAAACCATCCATATTTTCCATTTCCGATACGTCAATACCTTACTTGTACCTCAAAATACCCAGTAACTAATTTTAAACTGTAAATAAGTTAATACAAATTACACAACAAATATTATAAACAAAAGTACCGGTACCAAGTCCTGACAAATATACAACTAAATTGTAAGACTTACATCAACTTGTACTTACGTCAATAGCTTATAAATCTTACAATAATATCTACAGCTCAGGGGCTTAACAATGAATTTAAATTTACAACGTAAACCCACGAGACAAAAACTAACTTGTAAAATATGTAAGTACAAAAAACAAGTAGGTCATATCTTACATGCGCAGAAACTTAAACCATTTCGTTAAGTAAATTTATTTTCACAGACGCTAATCAACTTGTCTCGTGACTTAGTTGTTGAAACTTGGTTTTGGATTAACGATCGTGGAGTTTAAAGATTCGGTTCTCAGCACGAAGGTAAGGTACCAGTTGTAGGAAAAACATCTGTAACTGAGCATTAAATTGCAGAC